AATGGCTCTGCTTGAGCCAAATTTCCGGCCTAAGCAATGCAATCAGTCAACAAACCATCGCAGATGAAGTCATTATCACATGAATTGTTGCTGTTGGTGGGCAAATAGAGTTACTCAGAATACAAGAAAGTCCACAAATGGGAAAATGTCGCATCTTGTGCGCACTTTTCCTCAATGATTGCCCATTATAGCGTGCCTTGGATGTGACTTTCATGCTGCAACTGATACACAATATCAAAGTGATGGAAGTAATTTGACGATGCAATTGTTGAAAGTTGAAAAGTAATATTCAAGTTACATTCCAGAGGTGGAGGATTTTTTGTCACGCCAGCCAGCGCCGGGCTGAAGGTTTGGGGGTGAAAAGGGAGGATTGTTCACATCGGAAGGGAATCCACTTGAACACATTGCCATGGTGAAACGAAGTGTCTGGCAGTTAGAAAGTTTTCAGGTTACCTCGTAATAAGCTGTTCTGCACTCACCCAAGAAGAGTGGATTATAATTTAACGTCACTCGGCTCGCATTTCAATGCATATATAGCATTCTTATGTACAATTTGGCTTAAATTTTGAGCACATCCCTTTCACTTCTGTGTGCATCTTCTGTGCACAGTCATTGTAATTAATTCGATTTGCCACTCAAGCATGCAAAATTGGATTTGCCTTGAGCTCCGCTTGGCCTCAAAGTCTCTTCTCTGTCCATCTTGGACAAGAAGTCTAGGAGTTTTGGCTGATTTTCGATAAAACGCAATTACTCAATTTTCCCCTATTTCAGTCTGAAGGATTCGCAGGAGAGAAAAAAATCTAGTTATCATGCAGAGATATAACTTTCAAATGATATTTGCGAAATACTTTGACTAGCACTCATCATTTTCATTGGTATTCACTCCATTTTATGATTCTCGACAATTTCAATTTTCAACTTTCAACCCCCAGTAACTCGGCAAAATCCATTTAAAGCACTCTCTCAACTATTCTGTTCAGCTTTAGCATAATTTTCCGCCCATAAAATTGTGGGAATTCAACCAAACATTTGGCACAAGTCGAATAAAACTATGATTGCATGAATTTTTCAAATATTCAATCAATCATGAATTTCATTTTTCATGTTCTCTGCTGCAAAATATCTCTTATAATCTGAAATCTTTTTCACCACAAACAGTTTTCACGAGAAATCTTAAATTATTAGAGTCAATGGGAAAATTACTTGCGATTTGAGACCAATAACTCTGTGATTATTCAATCATTTTTTTATTATTTGTGATTATTATACAAATTTTTATTTTTTCTGAATATTTATTAAAAATGTGAATATAATTGATTAATTGTGCATAATCGGAATAAGTATTCTGATTCATTCATTGAAAACAATCATTTCTTTTATTATTCAATTCAGAATTTGATTATTTGGATATATTTTTGTAATTTTACTTGGGAAAACAATAATTTTTTAAAAATATTTAACTCAGAATTTGATAATTTTGTAATTTTTCTTGGGAAGATAATCATTTTTTGATTATTTTATTCAAAATTTGAATATTTTTCAACTTTACTTGAGAAAATATTCATTTTTTTATTTATTTAATTCGGAATTTGCTTTTATTATTTTTTTTGTAATTTTCTTTTGAGAAAATAATCATTTTTTTTAATTATTTTATTCCAAATTTGATTATTTTGTAATTTTACTTGGGAAATAATATTTTTTTGATTATTTTACTCAAATAATTGATTTTTTTCATTAGAGAACATTATGACTTGTCCCTTGATTAGCATTGAAAATGTTTTGAATGACGTGGAAAAAAGTCACGCAGCTCTTTTTGTTGATCGCGCAACATTGCGACGATGGGTTGAAGGGTGAATTTGCTTAAGGCAATTTAAATAAATTCCTATATATCACATAAAAATTTTGGGTTGTTCATGAAAAATTCAAAATTCATTTTCATTCATTGGAAGGGAAAAAAAAGCGAAATTAATTTGAGAAGAGCGGGAAAAAAAACACTCCAACGAACACTCAATTTGAGTTATGTATACTAAAAAGCTCATCGGAAGCTACAAATATATATGATAGCGAGCCGGCGAGAGAGAGAGAGAGAGAGAGAGAGAGTGAGCTTTTTGGGTATTCCAATTCACATTCATTCGCATATTGGCAGAGAGTTGAATTTTAAATTAAGTTTCACTCTTCAATTTTTAATCATCGACTTCTTCCTGGTCGTAAATAATTTATTGCGTTGGCGAGCGGATGAAGAAGCGAAGTGGTGGGCAATGTATCTACACATTACAATTATATACCTCGCGGGGGTGCTTCTGTGGAGGGTGCTTTTGTGGGTGGTGGAGGAAATATTTCTGCTTACTCTCTCTCGGCTATGTTTCTTTTGTTTGCACCATTTTTCTGGCCTTTTCCTCGCTTCAACCCTTTCAGCCATATATTGATTATCTCAACTGTGCATTCATTCACGAGAAACTGCGAAAAGTACTACCATTTATTTTCCCTTCACAGTTTTGTTGATATTTTCACCGCACAACCGCCAACTTCTTGCCCCTCAAACCATTTTCCTCCTCCTGTTGATTGCCTCAATATTTCCACAGGTACGAGAAATAAATTATCAAAGGCATTTTGGAAATTACACTGAGTCTGTGTAGAGTCCAATTGAAAGTCTCTCTCTCTCTCGACATTGTGGCAATATCAAGGGGTTGCTAATGTCGGAGATGCAGTTCCAAATATTTAAAAAATTTGTCGATATTCGCGAATATTCGGATTCAATTGCAATTTAGATTGTTTTAAAGAAATAGACTAAATGAAAAGGTATTAAAGAAATTTTGGTGTAGAATTTACCGATAAGATTGAATTAAGAGTTGAATTAAGGGTGAATTCATCAATATTTACTCCAAATTAGTGATTTTGATGACCTTAGAATGTTTTTCCTATGAAAAATGAGATTTTTGTATTGAATTTTAATTTAAAAGACCTTTCTTTGGTTAATACTCAACATATTTCTAGCTATTCCTTAATTAGAAAGGCTATTAGATGTTCTAAACAGCATTTTTTCGCGCTCAAATTCCTCTTTTTCTCGATCAGGATCACGCCAGGAAGTCAAAGAGTGTGCAAATGTGTGAAAAGGGAAGGAAAATGACGCGAAAATGCAATCTTAGTAGCTTCCCAAGCGATTATTGTGGAAAACAAGATGAAAAATGACATTTTGGGCTTTAAAATGAGTTCTTAGGAGAAGATTTAAAACCCAAGGATAGACATTAAAGTGTTAAAGAGAATGTTAGGAAGGATTCTATAGGAAAATGGATAAATTCAGGCGTGGGAAAAATTATTTTTGATCACAAAAATGCAAAAATTAAGAAATGTTTTGAAGGAAATAAAAATTTTCCGTAATTGCGATGAGAAAAGAATATTTCTTGGCAGTTTATTAAAAATGTCGCAGAAAAGCCTTTTCTCTCTCATTTATTTTTTAATTAATAAATACATTTATTTGACTAAATTGCATCGCGATGCAGTCGAGATGGCACTTAAAAGCGACATTAGCAGCCCCTTGGACGATATGCTGCGATAAAGATGCTTCATATTGACGATCAATGCCTCCAAGACGCCCCCCACCCACGCGCCGGCGGAGCTGTCTGGGGGGCGGAAGGGCGGCCAGAGGAAGAGCCCACCGTTCGGCAAATAGGCCAAGATATAATTCACTCAGTCCGAAATACTTGGGTGGGAAGCACACAATGAAGAAATTTAGTGAGGAAAAAGCAAAGAATACAAACAACAATCAACAGTCGACCAATATTTTCCCTCATCTTTTCCTCTCACCCCCAGAAAAAACCACCCGCCCAGGTCTATTACATGGCATCGCCTTTCATCCCCCGCAAGCAACATAGTTGGCTGCTCTTTTTCTGCCACTCCACCCCGAGACATTGTGCAATTTGAAAGGAACGACTTCTCCGCAACTTTGATTTCTCATCGCGCGACCCCCAAATTGACCCTGTCAAAGTTTATCGTCTTTTCATCGGAAAAAATCGTTCATTTTGTCAAACAATGCCTCCTTGTGGGCAAGTCAGGATGAAGTCAAAATCTCTTCGTCAAATACACCCACTCTCTTCCCACCCCCTCGAAAATCAATGAGAAATTGCCTTGAGAGTTGCGTCAGGAAAGGAACTCAACACATTTCTTTCATGGCTCACAAGTGAAACCCCTGCCAATCTCTTTCGGGGGTTGTTTTCCCCAGGATTGCCTTTCGTCTCTCGACATGCTTTTAAATACATTTGCGACATATTTGTTTGCCTTTGCATTCACATTGTGCCTCTGTCAACACGTCCATCTTGTTAGAAGTTGTTATCGAAATAAGATTTTTCCATGCGATTTTTTTCTTGGCTGTAATTAGAAGGAAAATTTGGGGAAAATAATCATTTCCAGTCTGTGTTTTCGTGGAGATTGAGGGGAGAAGTGAAACCCTTGGAGAATTTTCTTTATGGATCTCTTGAGCGAATCTGGCATAATCCTTTTGAAAAATTTATTATTGTGTAATGTTTCTCTGTCTGAGGGGCGAATTGGGTCAGGATATTATTAAATAAAGTATATTATGAAGCCGGGAAAAGAGAGAGAATGGCTGTATAAAAAGCCAGGCAATAAATTCATATATGGAAGGATAGATTTCGCTGCTGTTATTGCAAAATAATCAATATTCCACGCCACCCATCGCGCATTCCTCGCCATTCAACCACCCCCAAAAAGCTCTCCATAGTGTAATATTATTGTTTCTCTGCATTGTTTCTAATCCGGATTTACACTTTCTCTCTCGTGTAGCTCGTGAGCACGCAACGCGGCCACTACAGAGCTCATGAATGAGCCCCATTGAAATCAAATACAATTATGAAAACAAAAATAATACACAATAAAATACATTTTTCCTCCTCTTCTTTTCGATTAAATAGAGCCCCGCTTTGGGGGCGTATGTGTGTGTGGCTCAGGGGTTGATTTATGTTGCCTTCTTCTCTCTCCTTCCACAGATAAGCCAATCTGTCGACCGGACCAGAAGCGAATTTATGGCGTGGCACGGAATGAAGCCGCCGAGATACTGTGCGAAGTGGACGCATATCCGGCGCCCGAAACATTCAAATGGTCCTTCAACAACACGGCGGAAACGTTCGATATGCCCCAAAGTGGCTACCGGGTCCACTCGGCCCAGGCGTCCACATTAACGTACACACCTGTGAAGGTAAATTTACATCCTCAGCCCCCATTATTCCGCCATCGCTCACACATTCTTCTGCAAACACAGAAGAGCACATTTTCCCTTTACGATATTATTGATCTAATTCTCGTCGATTGGGTCGAGCAATTGATGTATGGAAAAGCTTATTTCCATGCTAAAGACCGAAGGGTGGGGCGCAGCAAGGGAGAGATAATGTGCCTTCAATCTGTACAACACTTCTGAACACTTCTAGAATTCAAAGTCTGTTAAGTTTCCATCCGATATTTCTGTAAGAATCCATTAAAAAACACATTTTGGACATCTTTTCCGACCATAACCTCAAAATTATCACTAAAAATTCTTCAAAACCTCAGTTTGAAAAGTTTCTGATTTGCCAATTAAGTCAAAACTGCTGATAAAGAATCAAAATTGACCCAAAACATTTTCTAAATGAACATTTTCCAAGTCTAAAATGTATTGTTTAGGTTATGTTTGAATTCAATACAATTTTCAGAATTGTTTGGCATCTAAGATTCCGAATATCAATATTTATCGCATGAAAATGCTTAATTCTGCCGATGTTTAGCAATTTTGGTGACTTAAGCATAAGAATTGTTGTGGTAGAATGTGAATTATTCACTAAATATGTTTTAAATTTGTCACATAACCTAGAAAAAGATGGCTTTTTGTGCCATTCTAAAGACATCCAAAGAAACATGACAAGTATTCAGTAAAACAAGCTCTTAAGATAGGAATATTGTGAGTTTTTGAACACTTCTACTTCTTAAGTACTCCTGCTGAACTGTACACCACTTCTGACTGTATTATCTCCCCCTTGGGGCGCAATCCCGCGCTGCGTGAGTCGCGGAGCTTCATAAATTTCCTGACCCGGCAAAAGCTCAGAGAAAAGAAAAATCTCTGAGCAAAATAGATGAATTTCTAAACCCTTTTGCCTTGTGGAAATTATCCGAAAACTCTCAACAACGTCTCTAAATGTTACGAGAAAGATACGCCAAGGTGGCGGTGTGATGAGGAGAACTCAGTAGAATGCCAAGCAAGTTTCTCCAAAAAGCTATTTCTAAGCTTATAATATTCTATGCATTAAACTTTGCACATAAGTTTCGACACAAAGCTCCAACAGATGGTTCAATTCACTGTGTATTGGCACTCATGCTCTCGATATGCTTTGCTTTAAGTCACTTCTCGTTAATTAACAACTCGACTCTTGATAACACGGGGCCACTTTTAAAGTCAATTTCAGCAAGTCTAGCTTTTTTCAAGCATCCCAACTCCCAGTAATTAATTAATTTGCCAGCAATTGAGTAATTTACAGCGCTTTTCATCACTTAAGTGTCGATTTTGATAGAAATTTTAGAGAAATGATCATCAAATCGGTGCTCTTCGTTGGTCAGTTGCCTTTACAGTCATGTCCAGGACATTAAATTGTAGGGAATTTAATCCTCTTACTACATTGTCAGCCGCAAAATCGAAAACACCGCGGAAGTATTTTATTTCATTAATTTCAATTGAATAATGAGTCGTTGCAACATTACAGATTTCGTATTTCAGTACGTAAAAGCTACCAATTTGGGTAGCTTTTCATAGTTTATATTAGCAACGATGACAGACGATGTAAGACGAATTTTTGGGAGTTTATTTGATATGAATTTCAGCTATCAAAAAGCTATTTCTTTACCTCTTTCTCTGTGTTGCGATTTTAAGAATTTTCGACAAATACCGAGAGATTTTTTCAACACAAAGAGTTGCAAATGCATTGAAAAACCCAATTAATTTCCTTGGAAAGGGTTTGAGGGATGTTCGGAAACAAATAACCTCAATTTAGTGCATTTTGATGTACACAAATTGACAGATAAATAGTGTCAAACTGTGCTGATCAATTTAAAAACATCGTTACTGGCTTTTTTCTTGATTTTCACGTGAATTTTCCGACTTATCTTGTCATAAATGCTATGAATCGCAGTCTTGCAACGCAGTTTCACAGAATTATAAGTTATGAAAATAATGTTGCAACGGCCGTTTTAGCTCCCAATTCTAGGCGCCAATTTGCCAGTATTTGTCGTCCTCTGTGCGACCAATAAATGACTATTATAGCATACCGCAGCATATGTGGCATGTAATTGATATGCACACTAAATGTGAAATTAAAAATCTCGTTTCGATGTCAGAGAAATGTTGTAACAAAACACGTTTTCAAATGGTCTCATCAAACCATACAGTATTAATTTTAATGCGATTAATATCATTTTTAATATTGTCTGCGCTATTTGTACAATTACGGCAAAACAAACAGTTTCAATTTTCAATGCATGGAGTGGCAAGCAGAGCTCTGTGCAGTCATAATTGAAGCTCATGCAGTATTGATGGGAACCACATCAAGTTGGGGAATGTTGAGAAAGTTCCGGGCAAACGTTTGTCAATCCACTGAGCCGTGATTAAAAATCCTGTCGCTGGGGAAGCTGCAGACAAATTACAGTGTATGTAAATTATGCACGAAGCCTTGTCGTCCCGAATTGAGTCCCTGAACCGGAATCCGGGCGACGGGGTCCTCGGGATGTCCCTCGGGAGGACGAGACGTGGTGTGGAGGAGATCAATATGATTTTATTAAAGCATGTGTATTTAAATTATTCGCTCTCGGTGGGCGTCTTGTCTGCGGCCAAATGTGTCAAGGCGCCAATGATATCTCAACGGTGTCCTTTGGCAGGAGCGGCGGAGTCAGATGCAGCGCTCGGCTCGCCTATAAGTTTGCTGAGGATGTGAGAGAGTGGCTCAAGTGTCTGGCTGGTATCACCGGGTGCTTCTGCTGATGCCAGTGGGCGGGTGGGCGGCCCGGAGAGTGGCTAAGAGTCCTCGCTCTCGGGCTCCTAAATATCGCCTCCCAGCAATCCATTGGGAGCGAAATGGCGCCGGACTGTATGTGCACAAAGTAACGATGTCTCAAGCAGAGTTCTCATGCATATTTAACGTTATCAATTTATGGGACCAGGCGGGCACAAGTGGAATGAAAATTCCACTCTCAACTGTTGGCTGGAAATTATATAAAATTTATTGCGCTATATGGCAAATTTTTATTTTTTTTCCTCCTCCTCCCCATTCTATTTTAATTTTTCACTTTTCGCCGCCACTTGCCATATTGCCCTCTTTAATTGCCTCCGCCATCCCTGCCAGAAAAAAAAGAGCCTTGAGAGCTTCGCGGACCATTCAAAATTGAAAAGCGCACACCATAAATCGTTCGCCCAAATTGAAGACTTTTCCATCCAATGGCGTCGCGCTTTCCCGATGGTCCTCTTCTCTGTCTCAGTCTTCAATTAAATACGAACAGAAGGTGATTCTGGGGAAACAAAGAGGAAGACGGGAATAAATCTCGCTCCGCGTCAGGAACAATGTTGGAAAATCAGGTCTCGCAGATATGAGGAAAATTGATGTTTCAGATCAATGTTTTTGTCATTTGCTATTACTTCAAATTATCACAAATTAGTTGATTCCAAAATCTCATTTGGCGATGCATTTATTTTCAGTATTTCTCATTTAATTTAATTAAAAGAATATTAAAAACAATTTTTAAAAGACGGAAGACAAATTTCTCAGCTGAAAAGCTTTCAAAGAGCGCAATAAATAGACAAAATTGGTCAAAAACTTAATCTTTAATCGAATATTTACGGTTTTACGCAAGGTTTTACGTTTAAAATACACGTAGAACCGGAAAACCTCTTTAATTTTTGTACATACGAGAATTTTTAAAAGTGCTGATGAAAATGTATTAAAAAATACATCAAGTTGAGAGTAGAGAAAAATCGTAAAGTGTCCTTTATTCCGTCGCAAATTCCTCAAATTTTACACAGATTTGTATAAATTTTTCTATATTTTCTACTGAAACGATTTTTTCGCTTCTTCAATGTATTTTTTCTCCCTCATTTTCCACTATTTTTCCAAATCCCGCACAAAATTCTCGAGTCCGTAATTTTGAAACTATTTTCAATTTTCTAAAATCTAAATTTGGAGGTAGCAAAGCCGCAATATTGTGTGACATTCAAAATCGATACTAGCAAACCCCTTAATTATCGACGACGGAATTAGAAAGGTCAACAAATTTTCCCACAAACTCTCAATGTGAATGAAAACAACCCTTGGAAAGTGGGACTCGCCCTTAGAGACAGCTTCGCCTGAAGTGGTGCGCAATGAATGTCCGGCGAAAGGGCGCTCGGAGTGTGTCTGAACACGAGACATGTCAAGCAAAATCAAGTTTTCAATCTCCGCTCGCCAACTGCTATCTCCTTAACTATCGCCGACGCCCTCGGTGGGTCGCAGGCGTGGAGAAGGTCCGTTCCGGTGTCATCAAGATGTGTAAGTGGATAAATTCGTTATTGGCGGTCGGATTACTGCGGATCCTGTGCTGGCCGCACAACTCATGCCTCGTCAAATGCCGCCAACACTCGGTTGGGTTTGTAATTTAATGTGGAGATTTTGTTCACTTGGTTTCTCATCCTTTTGTGTGTGTGTGCGGACAAAATTAGGGGTTTGAAATTGTTTAATTTAATGCAATTAAGTATGATGTGAGCGTCAGAGAGTTTTCGCACAAAACACTGCGGTGCATAATCGGCTTATTTCGATATGTATACTTTTGTGGAAACTTTGATGATTGGATAATTGAAAACACAACATTTCCCTCAAAGCTCATTTCACCTTCTTCCTCAAGCAATCAAGGAAAGTTTACTGCAATGATTGAACACTCTATCATATGCTTGTATGAATGATAGTGCAACAATAACAAGAAAAAGGAGAAGCACTTAAGAAAATTATCTCTCGCTCATGGAATGAAACATAGTTGTTGGCATTTTTCAAAAAAAAAATCGCTATATTGCACAGAGTGAAAGTCTTTTCTTGTGGAACAAAGTGAATATTCGCATCGAGGAGGCAAGAAAAAAGTGTAGTGAATATGTGAAAAGAAAAGGATGAAAAAAAGCTGTGTATATTACAGTGCAGTGGAAAACTTTTTCCACGGACGATGTTTCCTCAATGCAAAGTATGAATTCATTTTCTCCCCAATGCATGCCACATCGAGGTCTCTCTTTCCTCCACCGCAGGCGAAAATATATGTAGCAAATTGATTTTTTTTCGCCTTCCCCGCAACTCGAAAGATTTTCCCAAGGGGAAAATCATTCGCGATTTGAGACGACTAACTTTGTAAATTTCTCGATTATTTCGTGATTTTTATTCAAATTTCGATTATTTCATACAAATTTCAATCATTTTTTGTGATTTTTATTAAATTTAGATTTTTTTATAGAAAATTTCCTCAATTTTTTGATTATTTCCTGAAAATTTAATCAGAATTTGATTTTTTTTTAAAATTTCAATCAATCATTGATTTCTTGTTATTTTTATTCAAAATTTGATTATTTTGCAATTTTACTTTTGGAAAATATTAATTTTTTGATTGTTTTATTCAAAATTTTATTATTTGGAATTTTACTTGGGAAAATATTAATTTCTTGATTCTTTTATTCAAAATTTGATTATTTGGAATTTTTCTTGGGAAAAAAATAATTTTTTGATTGTTTTATTCAAAATTTTATTATTTGGAATTTTACTTGGGAAAATATTCTTTTTTGATTTTTTTATCCAAAATTTTATTATTTGGAATTTTACTTAGAAAATAATCTTTTTTTTATTCTTTATCCAAAATTTGATTATTTTGCAATTTTTTCTAGGGAAAATAATCATTTTCTGGCTATTTGATTCAAATATTTAAATACTTGATTGAAACCACAAAATTTCCTCAAAAATCGCCTTGTGACTTGCCCCTTGGATTTTCCGCCTTTCATCAACGCCTTGGCGTCTTGTGGCGTCAGTCCTCGTGTTCATGTAAAGGAATAAGCGCCAGTGTGGGAAGATGATGATATAGCACCTGCTGTAGTTGCTCATTTTTCAATTCATGCCATTTCGTCCACAGCCATATCACTCACCTGTCGCTGTTTTCCTCTAATAAAATGCAAAACGATATCAGCAACAAGCTTCGGCAGTGATATTAAAAAGTTTTCTGCATTCAAACGAAATATTAATATGGAAAATATGTTTTTCATACACCAACTGAAGCCCAATCTGTATGTTATTTTATTCCTCAATTAAGTCAATTCATTCTAATTAGAGTTCGGTAATAGGCGATCTGCCAATTTATGCACACAAGTGGCAAATAATGCATTTGCAAATGCCATTGAATGGCGCAACATTCCCCACAGTATTTCAGATATATATAAAACATACATTTAATTGAAATTTGGACAAGAGAGCCCGTATTTTTGCCAATTGACGTATGTTTGTATTATATTTGATTAAAATGTTGAAGCTTTTTCCACGAACGCATTTTGTGAACACAGTTTTTCTGGCCAACGCGCGCCTATAAATATTTATGCACTGCAAAAGCCCATGTGAAACTTCAACGCGCCCCTTTTTTCCCAGCTTTCCCATCAGCGAATGTACGAGGGAGAGTGAACGGAAGTAAAATTCAATTTCAATTTGTTTAGATATAACGAGACCAATATGACTGTTTGTGGAGCGTAAATTTTGATTTTTCCTTCCCAATATCAACGAAATTGCACATTTTTTCCCCGTCCAGGTTGTGATTAAAATATATGTCGGAAATGTCTCTATTGAGGGGTTATTATTAAACTCATTTAATTGGAATTTATATATAAATAGAAGGGTGAATTCATATAAAATATTCAAGATATTTACTGGGGCAGCTTTGATATTAACTATTATCTCGTCAAAATTAGAGTTCGCCACAAATAGCTGCTTCAGATTATATAATTTTATAGGGGAGAGCGGACCAATTTTAAACTTTCAAGGAAAATGCTATACAGTCTTTTGAATCCTCTTGGTTATGAGCTTCAAAAAGCAACCTGAGCTGAAAAAAACCAAGAATTTCTATTCAAAGTCATTTTATACAAAACTGCCCCACTCTGGGGCACATTCTTCTAAAAAGAATGGTAAATATATCCTATTAATGACTGAAGAACAATATTTCAGTACCAAAACTAAGGGATTTTCATTGTGTAATTTAACATAGACACATTAGCAGAGACACACTTGACGAAGAATTCTTTTTCTTCAATTCCTACAAGAACGTCATGAATACAATAGAACACAACGAGGTATCAAACATGATTAGAGCAATACGCTTAATCTTGCACACAATACAGTTAAAAATACATAACCTCTTAAATTTCCTGTTCGAAAAGGCGCTGTGCAAAGCTGCTCCAGTCGCAAAGAAAGAGATTTTTCGTACCACCAAAGAAAAACATGCAACTTTACCACGAAAGCCACAGTACTGCCCCGCTCTCCCGTACGAGATAATTATCAATAGCAATGCTAGCCCACGTCTCAAAGCTGCCCCACTTCCTCCATATCACATGTTCGCATTGATGACAAATAATAATTAATCACTTCTTATTCCCAAAAGGAGGCAAACGCTTTGGTGTCTCATTACAGCATTTCGCACTAAATTAATACGCAAAGCAGTGGAAAAGCGAAGGGGTCGCGTTTATAAAGTCATGTGAAATCTGATTTGCACGTGAAGTAGTGAGAAAATCTCATTTTCGCACCAAAAAAAAAAGGCGAAATTGATCCGTGTCGAATTTTATAGATGAAAAATCGCGGAATTCACGCAATATCCGCCATGCGATATAATGCACCTGATATCGTGAAATTTGATCCGGCTGATAGGTGGCGCGCGCGCGGGGGTGGCAAAGGGTGGGCCTAGAGAGTAAATTCAGGCTGATGTGTTTGGGCTGCATTCTCACGGGTGAATGAAAAGAGGGCGAAATTCAAGGCGAGGAGTGCGACTTGAAGCCACCCCAGATTCATTCATACATGAAATTGTGGCGGTGGCGCTCTGGGGGCCGACACACGGTGGTGGCGGAATGGGGCCGCACATAGATGACAATGTGGTGTAGGTTGTACTTTTGTGAAAAGCTACCCAACAACAATACCGTCGAAAAAGTGCCTTTTCCTTTCTATCGTGGAACTCTTTTGCCCACCCGTGCGGCGGAGACAGACCCAAATGGGGGTGCGCAGGAGTGTGAGCAGGAGCGAAAATATATATAGCGACACATACAAAAGCGGGTCGAGTATGTTAACTGAATTAGGTTTTTTTTTTCCTCCTCCACGCTCGCCTCTCATCCACCCCATCGACTTTCAACTCACCGGGAATTTTTTTCTCCACACGTTGTAAACGAAATTTAATTCTATACACATTTTCATATGTGATGTTTTCAGCGTTTTTTTTTTCCAGCCGCCCTTCTAACATTCACCCTCAAAATTTTTCTCGTATTTACTTTCATGTCTGTTCGCCGTTCAAACACCAAAATATTCATATATTGACCGACACACACACAAAAAACATCCAATGCTGAAAACTAACCAGGAAATGGACTTTGGCACAATTATGTGCTGGGCAGATAATGTTGTCGGACAGCAAAAGGAGCCATGTGTGTTCCATCTGATAGCGGCCGGGAAGCCAGATATGCCCTACAATTGCACCTTAATCAACCAAACGTCGGACTCTCTGGAGGTCGATTGCGCCGAAGGTGAGTATTTTCTCATTACCCCGAATTCACCGCCAGCCAGCGACCCATTTTCACCACAATATTTGCCATCGAACAGCATTTAAACAACGAGGAGGGAATTTTACTCCGAACCCAAGTGACATCAAATGACTAGACCGGAAAATGTGACAATTAGCGTAGTACATTTTCGAGTCGCACCGTGGTCAAAAATTGTTGGTCAAATGACTGCGAAATAGCAGTCATGCTGAAGTCATCTTGAATGCATTTCGATTTATCGAGTTCTCGGGTAATCTTATGAATTTTCACTTTGATTGACACGATCTAGATAGATAGATAGATTAGAAATGGAGGTGGTGCAAGAAGTCTTGCTCCACGGCATCCAGGCCATCTGACGGGCCCTTTATGCATCCCCGATACAAAATAACAGCTTCTATACAAGGCAAGGATGATTAAGCCAGCCAGTCTTCCGAACGAAGTTCAGCAGACTAGCTAGCTTTAGCCCCGATAGGTCACTTTCCAAGAGTAATAGTTTTCCTAAAAGGATTCTTCTGACATTTACAAATCGAGGGCAGTCGCACACAAGGTGTTTGACCGTCTCTTCCGCTTCATCACAGCCTCTGCGGGATGTGGTGCAACTAACGCCTAATCTACTGAGATGATTGTTGAGATAGTGCCCAGTTAGCAGGTTGGCAAGCGTCCGGGATCTCCATCTGCTGCCACTGACTATGAACTCCGTCCTATTCTTATCATGGCCGACCATAAACAGTTTAGACACGCGACAGTGTTCTGACGCGGTCCAATCTACTTGGTGTTCTTCAGAAAAGTGCCTGTGTAAGATCTGTCTCTTCAGTGATAAAGAGACGCCCACAGCAGGCTCGGGACCAATGAAGTCAGACATAGCCTCAGCAACAGCGAGGCGGTCTGCTTCTTCGTTTCCCTCAATACCCCGATGACCGGGTACCCTTGACACGATCTAAATGGGTTTGTTTGTGATTTTACGCAATTTGATATTCTCGAAAATGCATTATTTAAAATGTTTCTAAAGAAACATTTCGTTCGATGCGAGTATCAACTTCGCAGGCGATCGTGTGTGTTATTTCCCGGTCCAAATCGAGTCGTATAAGTATTCTAAATGACCGACAAATGTATGTTCAATAACCCAAAACCGACCAATTTTTAGGCATCTTTTTGTAGTAGTTTTTGACTTTGTTGTATAAATGCGAAAGGCTGCAAAACGGTCGGAAAGCATGCTATTTCAACTCGCCGTGTTGCTTGGGAGGTGCTTGAATTACAGATGAGCAAAAATATCTAGAATTTTTTTTTATTCTTCACTTAGACAAGAAATAACGAAAAGAGACTTAAACTGCGATAATTGGCTCATTTCGTCAATCCAGACTATTTTAGTGATCCAATTCAAACTCGTCATTACTTATACAGTCGTGGCCTTTCGATTTGAATCTCGTTAACCCAATAATTAAGTAGGAAAGCGACTAAGAAAGTCTGTGCTAAGTTCGCCGCTCTTACAGATTCTGGTCGTTTGAAGGTTTTAGTCATGGAAAACTCAAAATTTCGGCAATTTTGCAGGCAAAAGTGTACAATATTTCACCAAATTATCTTCTTCTTGCATTTAACTTTAAATAACCTTGCTTTACTCTGACAGACAGCATGAAGAATTGATGGCAATCAAGTGCCAAAGTATGAATTTTCCTATATTGCTGTGCCTATCAATGTGTGAGGCGAGAGAAATTCTCTCATCTCAACTCTGTGACACAAACTCTCAATGTATTTTTGCATCTTTCAAGGGGGTGGAAAACATAAAGTTGCTGCAAGAACACACTTTAACTCAAATTGTATTTAAAATTTTGGGATCGTGAATATCAGGGGAATGGAGAGAAAACTGTGCAGCGGAGCAAAAGTGCCTTCTTTTTGCTGTGGTTTAGACTTGCCACACTGGCGAAGAGGGACAGAAAGAAGTGCGGATGAAGTGCTGGTGCGATGCGGGAGTGAATTTCCACCGTGTTCCCGGACAGTGTGCGGTTCTGCCACAGGCGAGCTGATGGGAAGTGTGTCTGGATTCGCAGATATGACACAGAGAGAGCGGGGCAAGATGGTGTGCGGCCGCCAGGGAGATGGAATATGTGTAGCTTCTGTCGGGACGAAATATGATCAAAGTTTGTCGTGGTTTACAGAAAGGGTTGCACATTTATATTTATGTGCAGAGGCAAAGAAGCGGTGGCAAGAGTTGCACAATGAGGGCGGAAGAATTCACCTGAATTTCCAAAAACCCATTTTGCAACACAAACCGAAAATCTACCCCAAACCTATATTATGCATGGCCTTTTTCCACTCTTGCCATTTCATTCGGCATTTCAATGGAGCACACAAAAAGCCACTTCTGCTATCAGAATTTACGAAAAACAACTTTTTCAATGAATTAGTGAAATGCCGGCGAGATTTTTTATCACTCTTTGAAGTATATTTTTGTAAAAGGGGGAGATAATATGCCTCAAATCTTTACACCACTTCCAGACACTTCAAAACGTATTTCAAGACATTTTTTAGACTTCTTCAAATCCAGGTTTTTCCGTCTCAAGGCGCTTAAGTTCTTCAAATTCTTAGATTTTGGATTGAAAAAATTGATTTGAATGTTCTTTGCTTCGTTAATGGCAAATTTGTGTCTTGATTTTCTAATTTTATGTTTTAGAAAAAGGTTAAACAAAATTTTGATCAAATTGTGAGGTTATGAATGCGGTCTAAAAATCTTTTTTCACCAGAAAATTACTAAATTCAGCGAAGAACAAAATTTTTCTACAAGATAATGACGTTAAATTTGCCATTTTTAAGCACAAACTGCAGAAATAACTAAGAAAAAAGACAATTTTCTAGAAAGAAATAACATTTTTGAGGTTATGATTGACTTTTAACCTTTTTCTTACCTAATATTACGTTATTACGTTAACTTGGCCAAGAAAAAGAGAAATAATCTGCAGATTAAACACAATTTTCATGATTTAGAGGATTTTCTAATCACCAGAAACTGTCTTTAATCAATCACATAACCTATAAAAAGCAATAAAATTGATTTTTCTAAACAGAATTATGTAGAAAATGCCTCAATTTGTTGAAAGAGAAGGTTTTTCAGTGGAAATATTCGATATATTTTTTCACTTTCAATTCCTAAACACTTCCGTGAAATTGTACACCACTTCCAGTCATAATATCTGCCCCTTGTCTGATGGTTAAATGGAAAAATAAGAGCTTTTTACCTCAATTTTATCACTGTTTTTTCCACAAATTGAGCCCATCATTAGGAGAAAAAAAGACTCACTGCTCTTTGACATCATTAAAAACAATTTTCGCAATTTTCCTTCACAGACTGTCTTAATCAGAAAGCGGTAATTTTCACCAAATTCGTCCCTTGTAATTAAATAAATTGAATTTTTTAATACTCTATTGCCTCACATCACTTAATTAACCAATAGGCCGGGATTAAGAGATCCAGGACTCCCTCGGCGGAGAGTCCCGGCGCCGCCACGACAAACTCTCCGGGGTGCGAGGGGTGAATTAAAAAATATTTAATTAGATTTAGCACCCCAAGCGTCTCCCAAATGTCTCTCTGGCGCTCTTATCACTCAGCCAGCGAGGGAGAGTGAAAGAAAAACGATGATACTCTCGCCCTCATAAAACAACCCCCTCTTGCCCCACTCCTGTGTTATGGGGCGCTTCGTCAGGCTTAAATGCGAAATTTCGGTTAATGCCAAGCAAAAGGTTGGCCTTTTAATTAATATTCCACACTTCAAATTTGATATTTCCCAAGCAAATTCGGCTGGCAAAACATCCACACAGTATTGAAACTTTCAATTAGTGAGATAAAAGGTGTGCAGAGTGGCTGAAAATGGGGGACAAAGTGCTTTCTGGCAGAGCATTTTCCACCCCCCCCCACGAGCAAAAAATCAAGACAGAGAGAGAGTTCAAACCCACACAGATTTTCCACCGGCACGTCAACATATTTTCCCAGGGCGCTAGATTAAAGTCAAGGCAATATGTTTGTATTGGCTTCTTGTGCTGGTCGCTGGCTGCGCTGTGTAAACAGGGCATTAATGTTTATCTTCTCCTTTCCACCCCCAAAACCGAAAAAAAGGGTTCGACGGTGGACAACGACAGTGGTTCATCATGGAGATATTTGATGAGCAAACAGGACTACTGCAAGCAAATGTGTCTTCCAAGTTACCTCTATTCGCAGTCGGTGGTCTAGACGCTGGACGTCTGCTGAAGATATTCATTTATGCCGCCAATGTCAAGGGTCGCAGCGATTCTGTGACCGTTCAGGCGTTCACGCTGAAAGCGGCTGAGAAGCAAACAGGACGAGATGGTGAGTACAAAACACACTGACAGCTGAGTTAAACGAGGATTTTCGCCAGGATTCTAACTGGAAAAGACATAAAATTAAATGCCCAAAATGAAGTCTTTTTCGATTTACAAAAATACTAAAAATTAAGGATTAATTGCAGACTGATGGAGCAATTAAGTTTAACATTCTAAATAAATAAAGAAGCTTTAAAGTTTAAGCGATACAAGAATGTGTAAAAAAGAAAAAATTGTGAAATTTGCAAAAATTATCAAAATTCAAGTAAATATTTAAGAAATCCGCGATAAAAAGAATTTATTGTGAACATAATTCATGTTCAAGCTTGAAAATTAGGACCACAATTGCAGATTGATTCATAATTGCAAGATATTTGCAGATTAAGATCTGGAAATCGTGTTAAAATTACACATTCAGGCGATACAAAATGGTTTAACACATGTGTGACTCAAAATAGCAAATGCGTGTGTTAAACCAATATAACACATTTGTTTAACTTTTTTATGTGATTGTGAATTGCTCCATAAAATTAATATTCAATTTTGCATAATGTTAAAAGGTATTTTTGCTTGGAATCTGAAAAAAAAATTTAATCAAGATTTTCCACGTGGTTTTAAATATAGAAATTAAAAGATGATTATAATTTTTTCTAATATGTTTAATAATTTTATAACGATATTATAGATTATAAAACAATTTTATTTTCTTACCAATTTTTTTTCTTTTACTGATATATCAAAATTTTCAATACTGTTTTTTTTATTTATTTAATATTCTTGAAAAACAATATACCCAAAAGGACATGAGCTTAAGTAGAGCCAGACTAATTCAAAATCCTTCTTTTCGAAATTAATTCCAAGAAAACTCAATTCTTGGTTAAAGATTTGTATTATTTTTCTGAGTGTCGCGATCGCGACGCCCACAATCTCTCTGGCAAATGTACAGCGTGTTTGCGTTATCCCGACAATTTTCCCTCCAGCGCCTCGGAAAAACTCCTGCATTCACTGGAAATAACCAGCGAAAAGGGCATCAATTGAGTTCCTCTGAAGCTCATCATTTTGTAATTCGCCTGATGAAAATGCTAATTTGTGTGTGCTGGCGAAAAGAGCACAAATGACGCAGAAACTTGACGAAGACAGAGGAAATAGCAGTGATATGTATGTACATATATAGGTCAAAAATATGGTAATTATCCTTGCTTCAGTTCTCTGGCGGTGAAGAATAAAAGGATTCTGACAAGATCTTCGTCGCGTTTGAATTAGAATTATATTATCAATATGTTGATTATTTGCAATCAAATGAACGCGATTTATTAAATGCCATCATTGAGATTGTTTCCCAACAAGTGTAAGATTTTCCCACTCTGGGAGGAAATCGGAATTAAGTCCTTGACAAACGACAAGAGAAGTGCAGCTAAAAGGATAGCGCAAAAGCATTCGTGCCATAGCGAAATGAGCACTTTTTTCCTTCTCTTCCTTCCAAAACATCTTGAATTTTTCATCCCTTCCTCCTTCACAGTCACAAGGAATATTCACACTCTCATTGTGACCTTTTTTTCGGCACTGGCGGAGTTATAAAAATACACAAGCTCCTGATTACAAAGAATAACACCGAGAAATTTCTGTCTTTTTGTCCACCTTTTTGACTTCTAAAAGCCATTCGCCATGCAATTCTCAACATTTTTCTTTGTCGTCCTTTTTTGTTGTTTCTCCTCGTTCCACACCCCAAATTTCACCCCGCAGAGTTTGGCTGTGGGGGGTGTTTTTTTTCCCTGTGTCCTCGTGGGTGAAGCGACAAGGAAAGAATGAGAAGAGAGAGAGAGAGAGAAAGGAGGAAAGTGAGAAAAAAAAATTTACATCAAAAGCTTCGCCCCAGAAGCTTTTCTCGTTTTCGCATTTCTCGCTTTTCTCTCTCGCTCGTTCGCCCAGGATGAAGTGCTAAGTCCCATTTTGCGAGTGTTGAAGAAATACAGATGGAAATTGGTACGCACGTGTAAAATTAAAAGGATACCACCACATTTCCTCCGGGTCACACTTTTGAGCAAGCCAGAGAGTTTGAACGCTATCCCGGGGCAACGGTGGTGGGCTTGGCAGAGAGGGAGCGAAAAGGTGTATTAATTCGTTTTAAACGCATGACAAATGGAGCAGAGAAAAATGCTGTGGTAGAATTTTAAATAGACGCTCATTAACATTCATAAACCAAAACTCATTAAATTGCTCCTCTCTTTGATCTAACTATTTCCCCCCTCATCCGCGCTACCACGGGGATGTAAATGCTGCCAGAGAATGCGGGAGACACCACCTGTGGGCTGGCAAAGTTGCTGTTCGGGGTGGAAAATTTCCCCGGCGAAAAAGTTTCCCCACTGAGAATGTTGATTTTTCACAAAGTCCCTCTAATGCGCATTATATTGCTGGGTGATTGTTAGCAATGGTATTACTTTTTGCACAGAACGATATTTATTCTGGGATCAAAGTTCAGCATCACGAGCATGACAGAGACTTCAAGGGGTTCCGCATTTGCCAAAGCCACCAACTTTTGCTGCGAGTGATGTGAAAAGGAGGACAAATTACGCCATCTCAGTGTGTTTGCAATATGCTTGGTTTGGTGCTTAAAACTACATTCACTCCTTCTCAACAGTCCTCAAGTGCTGAACAGTTCGGCGACAGTCTTAGAAAGTGTACAAAAATCAGCATTATTTTGCTTCTTGTTCACATTTCTATGTCGCGACAAGTTGATGTGGAGAGCCTCTAAACATGAACAATCCATGCAGTTAGTATTATGAAGGTATTCTCATGAACGATCTTCACCTCAATACATGATTGATCACATGTTTCAGTCAGGAGAAGCTATGAGAGTGAAATGTGGCTTTTCGCCCCTTCTTGTTCCTCAGAATGAACACTTTGACTTTTTTGACGTCGAAACAGAGTTTTCTGGACTGTCCAGACGTAATTTGCGCAAATTTTCTCTGTTTATTTACACTTTTGACGCGAAAAATGAGGTTCACAATCAATCCACATCGATATTCATGTGAGTGGAAGTTCATGTGGTGCATAATCTTGCTTCTTGTTTACATTTCTATGCCGCGACAAGAATATGTGGAGAGCCTCCATTGCTTCAGCGATTAGGTGTGGCTATTTCAGCTTATGACACTATTTTCCGCTCTTTTCAGTATTTTATCATTCTTACAAATGAAAATACTTCGGCTCTTTCTTTAAGAGCATCTTTCAGTGTCATTTTTGAGGTTATGGACAAAAAAGTATCAATTCAAGCAAATTAAAGCAGAAATCTCTTAGCAAATTGTGTCTGCATTTCATCAACATCTTAATATTTCATTGGCCTTTTTGTCACTCACGGAAAATTCTCAACTTCTTTTCTTTCTCTCTGTTCAAGACACGAGGCAAAAACAAGAAATTGACTGTCGCCTTGGCATTCACAGCTGCGGGTGAAAAAATATTAAACAGACAATTAAATCTGTGAAGGAGTGACTTTTATGAATTTCTGATCCGACATCCAAGATTATCTCTCAAGTATTCGGCCAGTGTAATTAAAATATCCATGCTGTCTGGGCCTTGGTCTGGGCGATGCTCCTTCTTCTCGACGGGGCAGAAAATTGGTGAGCATCTCGCATGGCTTGCGCTTCGGCCTATATCCGGAATTAACTTCATTTTTATTCACTCCTCGTTTCCGTCGTTACTGTATTTTTTATCAGCCATTACACGCTGGACTGTGACTTGCTGAAGACTATTATCTTCTCCCTTTGCCACCCCCTGTTTGCGCCAGGTTGGGGCGCAGGGCGAGTGGATGAGAGCCGTGTCAGCTGAGGCGGCTGGAGGCTTTATGACGGGTCAACATGTGAGGGTGAAGACACCCTTCCGACCGTGTATTAATAGTCTAATTGGGCACTGTGCGGATCTCCTGAATTATTCCTCATCTCTCCGACTTTGTCCTCCGGCAGGACGCCTCGGAGGAAGGATCCGTCGGACGCTGGAAAGTGATAAGAAGTGTTGAATTATGGGGCCCATTAGAGACAGGGGGAAATTGCCACTCATTCTGCGATAAGCCAAGGGAATGCAATTAAAAATTGCAATTCGCAAGAAGCTCAAATTTCATATAGATTATCATTCACATATCTTTTCATGAGTGGCAGCGCAAGATGGTTTTAGACAAGCTATTCCATTTAAAAGAGGGTGGGGGGAAAGCCATTAAATAGTAAGTACTTTTCTACGTCTCCTCGCCGCAATGCTCGAACACTCTCACCCTCAATGGAGTCCGTAAATTTTGACCGTCATGATATAACTTTCATAGACGTGCTTTTACTACTTCCTTGCTCGACTTCTTAGCCACCCTCGGACGAAATCCTACCCTTTAGTCTCTCCCACCCTCTCTCGGCTGGAGGGAAAGCCAAGAAAATCTCATATATATAGAGGAACATGGGGGTCTCATCAGCTTTTCTTATTTACGACTGTTATGTCCCTTGCTTACCTGACGATTGCAGTCGTAAATTGTAAGTTTATTGTCATGCTGCTGAACTCTTATTCTGGCTGCCCTCCACTGACATGTGGACAGAAGCAATAATGTGCAAAAGAGGCGAGAAATTGCATTGAGACAGTTTTCCTCACTGTGTTGCTCACTATTTAAGCGATTTCACCGCCCGGCGAACACTGATTGCGGGAAAAATTCAAAAATTGTGCACAAAAGAGTTCATTTTTAGGCTCAAATCTGCTAAGATATTAACGTTTCGGTAAATTGAAGAGGTTTTTCATGCTGATAACACAGATCAGGAAATAGTAGTAAATTCGACAGAATAATTAGTCAAGAAATTGATAAGAAAGTTCTTCTTAATTTCTTCCGGTTTAAACCCCGAACGTACACAATTAGCTTAGAATTTCAGCTTGTTCGAAGATCTTCTCACAAAAGCGCTTGTTTGAGGTCAAAATTCTATCATTACTCGTCATTATAGCGACGATTTGAATAAGTATTGCTGAATTCTAAACAAAAGTGCTGAGAAAAGTGCTGAAAAAACCACTTTTATCTGCTCAATACTCAGCAGAAAGTGACAAAAATGATCAAAATTATTCCCTAAGTATCCTCTGAATACTTGCGTCTGTTGCGATCGTTTTTCAGCTTGAAAAACATGCATTTTGAAGTCGATTGAGAGCTTTTTCAAAATTTACTAACTGAAGCGATAAATTCAGCTGAAAATGTGCTCAAATGAGTGTGAAAAAAAGAGTGATTTTTTCCACAATAGTAAATTCCCAAGGGGTCAGTCACTCGCAAGTTGAGACCATTAACTTTGTGTTTATTCAAAATTTTTTTTCGATTTTGTGATTATTATTCAAATTTTGAATATTTTTGATTATTTTCTAAATATTTTCATTAAAATCTGATTATTTCATACAAATTCTGATTATTTTCTGAATATTTAATTTAAAATTTGATTATTTAGCAATTTTACTCTGGAAAATAATCATTTCTTGATTATTTTATTCAAATAATTAATTATATGATTGAGAACATTGAGTTTCCTCAAAAATCGCCTCGCGATTTGCCCCTTTTAAATTCCTATTGATGAGCAGTCAGTGTAATATAATCACCTAACAAATAGATATTGTTTTGACTGTCATTTAATATTAATGGCGTGTGGATACAAAAAGGTGGCATGCGATGTTCACAAAAATTCTATATAATTCAATTTCAGTGCTCAAACAGCAATTTGCTGGTCTGGATAATAAACAAAATTGATTGCAGTGTGAGTGTGGCGCGAAAAAAAGGAGCTTCAATTGACAAAACACACCCACAGCACGAATTTTACGTGGCCACCCCGCCGAGATGAGGGTTGGGGATGTAGAGATTTCCAAATAAATTCCCATACATTTAAATTTGAATTAAGTACCTCAATTGGATGGAGTTTTATTAATTTATATACACTTTTATTTTGATTGGGGACACAAACGCCGGAACGGATGCATTGCAATGAATGCGATTGTTGGGGCCCGTGGAGTGCGATAAATTAAATCGAAAGGTGCGCTCCATATGCCTCCCACTCAATGTCCCAATTGGGGATTGCGAGCCCCCAAAAATACACACACACACGCGAGCGCTCGCGAGGGATGCAAATTTGAGCGCGAGCCAGAAGAGAGTTTGTGGGGCAGAATTTATATTTGTAAATGGACGACGAACGATGTGACAACAGTAATTAATATCGATTTCATGATAATTTGTAATGCATATATTATTCAGAGAATTGCTCCGGTTGGCATCCCACTTATAATATGGCATTCTCCGTTTTGCAGGGAAGCACAATCAATTCGAATTAGCGTCGATACTATCAGTTGCAATATTTATCGGTGTGCTAACAGTATTAGTGTGTATCGGAGTGGTCATGTACATCTTGAGGCTGCGCACCGGAGCACCGCACAATCACCATCATCACCAGCACAAGAGCAAGAACAACAATATGACACGTCCTGGGAATTTGCCGATCAAGGAGAAAATTTCCTTGCCACTGAGTCAATCTGAGGATTTGTACGATGAGAAGAATCCCGATGTTGTGCCGTACAATGAAGGTGAGTCTGCTATTTGTTCTCTCTCTCTCACACCCCAATTCCACCCCGATCACATTCAATGCATTGCGCAAAACCCCTTCTTCCGCCCACCCTCTTGCCATACATAATATGCACACACCATTGAGGAACTCCCAGAGCATCTCTGCGGGACAATTTTTCCCCATCCAACAATGGGCGTCACTGTGCTGAGGTGTTTTTAATGAAACACATCTTGAATAGCTTTTTCATCGTCAGCTACAATCACAGAGACCGAGAGATAACTCAATTAATATTCATACAGGATAATTGAATAGAATCCATGGCAATTTGCACTGTGGAAACACTTGAGGCATCTCACACAATGTCATATAGCATCGCTATTGTTCAGAAATCCCAAGTAATTCACCAAACATTCGGCTTTTACTTTGCATTATATAGTTTCATAGTCAATCATGAGGAAATTCCAAGGGGATGATAATATGGCAAATATTCCTGACACTCTTCCGATCATAACCTCAAAATGTCACTAAGAGATCTTCAAAGGTTTGCAGATGAACTTAAAATGCTCACCAAATTGTGAGGTTATGAATTTAGCGCTAAAATCCTTCTTGTGCTTCTTTCGAGCCTGCAAATGAGTTTCTACTGAAAAATGAGGTTGCATTTGCCACTTAAAGGCTCAAACTACGGAAATAACAACATTTCAGACACTTTTGAACACCTTTAAAGGCATTTTCTATCGCTTTTTCGACTCCTTCAAGTATTTTTTACACACCATAATCTTAATTTTCAAGTTTTGTCGTCAGAAAATGCTTAGAAAACATTCTGATCAAATTGTGAGGTTATGAATCTGGCTTAAAAACTACTTCTTGGGCTAATTTTAATCCTTTCAAACCTGCAATTTGGGTTGAATTTGCCATTTTAAAGCACAAATTGCGGAAATAACTAAACAAAGCGACATTCTTTTAGACTGAAATAAGATTTTTTGAGGTTATGTCTGACTTTTCGGTTTTTTCTCAACCAATATGAAGATTTTACTTATAAAAATGTTGAAATGTGTCAAGAAGTTTAGAAATATTCCCAAATTTGTTGATTTTTAGATTCATTTAATCGCCAGAATCTGGTTTAAATCAATAACATAACCTAGAAAAATAATAAAATCGATTTTTCTCAGCAGAATAATGTAGAAAATGCATCATTTTGTATTAAAAGAAGCTTTTAATAGTGAAAATGCAAATATTCGATATATTTAACCATATTCGTATAATTTATACACCACTTTTAATCGCAACATCTCCCCCTTGCTAAATCCCTCAAAGAGACGTGTCTTACAAAGCCACACACCATATCTTCAATTATCTTAAGCCTGGCAAAGCAAAACTTATGCAGCCTTGAGAAGGGGTGGAAGAAAATTGATTTGCCAGTATTAAAGTGTCTAAAAATGGGGCTAATTTCCTTATTTTATGCTATAAAATCATTAAACTTGATGGAAAATTTCCATTGTAATTTCAAATGACAATTTGTGCATTCTAAATTATTCATGCACGATGTGAAATTTATAAAAGAAGGGAACTTTGTGAAAACGACTCTTCTTCCGTAGTTTGTCCCAAATTCACGGAAGCTAATATAGTTTGAACTTTGCAGCAGGGAATGATTGACAGAGTGAAATTTAGGTCTCCGCATTGCACGCAACTATAGTGACACTGTGTGCTTCCGTGAAACTTCGTCACCATCCACCAGTAAAGGGTGAAAAGTTCTGAAGTTGCTTGTATTATGCTGGGAAATTGAACCCAGATCGAGAGGCATTATTTAATAATTCCAACGACTCAAGTTGTATTGTATAAATTGTGAAGTTGCCTTCGTCCTTTGTCAGCGCTTCGGGCTTGTGTCTTCTCCTCGTGATTTTGCTGTAAAATTCTCACTGCTGCATAATGGCAGCAGAGAGAAAAGGGGTTGAGACAGTCGGGGAAAACACAGCTCGTCGGCGGTTGAATGGATAAATCTGTGCAATTCACTGAAAATCCATGGATACGGAAGTTTGATGGCGTGAATGCGACCCAGCCATGTTTCTGCCATGACAAGATGTACACCATCGTGAGAGCCAAAAGATATTTCAATCAATGTCTTGGGAGATGAGAAAGTTTTCTTTCGCACTCGCAGCGTTATTCTCAATTACACTTGTTGGCTTGTAATTCGGTCCTCATCTCAATCCTCAGCCGCTCGTGCATCAGTCCGAAGTTGTATAAATTATTTTACACAATATATATATGTGTGTTGAATAAATATAAATTAGCGTTCATCATCCGAATTCCCACGGGCGTCTGAGGCGGTGGATGTTGTGCAGCGTGTCTGGGTGGGAATTTGCAATAGTCGCACAGTAAATCATGGCGCCAGACGAGGAGCGCGAGTGAAAAACTCACAAGGATATTTCGCTCATCCTTCACGTGGGTGGACTTTAGCGATGAAACATGGCAAGTCGATGGAGTTCCATTACAAGAGAATTTCGAGTGTGAATCCCTTTGGCGAAACACTCAATCTTCAGAATAAATACACAGAAAGGACTGGAAAAAATACAGCTTCAGCAGTATTAAAAAGTGAGTGCCAACGCGTAGTTTAGCTCACGAAGAGGCGCTGAAATTGGATTTATTGACTAATGGTGGCTCTGACCTTATAAAAGACATCAATAGGCGTCTTTTGATGAAGAAATTATCGAAATTGGTTAACTAATAGCGGAGATATCGACTTGTCAAGGTGTGAACTTTAACCTGCCATGTCTCCGCTCCCAAAGCATCAGGACCTATAAGCGAAGGTTCGTTGGAATCGTCTTGATCTCAGCTACAACATACTGAAATTTAAAGAAAATTCATCGACTCGTTCTCGAATTATACAAGTTTAAAGTTTCAAAAATCGCTTTTGCAATTTTAGCGCCCCTAGCGGGGGTTGTATCAAGTTATCATTTTCAGGTCAAAGATATTATTTCATAAAACCTTTCCAATCAGCCCCAAATTATTCTGATCGGACAATTAGAACTGGAATTATGACTGTTTTAATATTCAAACTTTCATCCCTTAAATCTAAGGTTCTATGACACCTAGGCTCTTCGGTTGAGATTTGTTAGAAAGGTCTCGATACCGACTATAACATGTTAAGATTTTGTGCTGATCCGCGCTATGGGGTCTGAGAAAATGAGGAAAATGTGTTTCATGAGTATTCAAAATGGCGGACAGTCACGTCTTAGCTCTAAAAATCCATTCTTTTGTAGCCTAATTGCACGCTGTTTTCTATAATAATTCAATTATCAAGGGGAAATAAATAGTTGTTTATTTAATTTAATGATATACAATGCATAATTTCTATGCTAGAAATGTTTGGTGTTCATAAAAAAGAGTCATAAATGAATTAAGTGTTATAATGGCAGTGGAAAGGAGTGAGGAAAAATTTCATGAGAAAAATTGTATTTGACTGGAAAACAGATTATTGTATGGGTTTTTCCTAGAGACTTTTCGCTTACACTTCATGCGCTGCATGAATAATAAAAAGTTAAACTTTTCTCAACACTGAGCGCGCCGAGAACTTTCTCTCCAAAGACCAATTTTCACGTAAGCCGTGCGGATGTTTTTGTGTGTGTGTTAAGATTTTCACACCGGCGTGCAAAGGGAGGCAAAATCAATTCGACAAGGGTGAAAAAAGAAATGTACAAATAATTATCGTAAAACACTCACAATGCAGATTTTGCTGATGGTGTTTTAGTTCAGTTGAGGCGATATTTAAGGCGATCCTCAGGGCGAATCTCGCTCGTGGCCATAATTGGGGGTGGAAAAAAATGGCGAAAAGAGAGTGGAAGCGATATTGAGGGCAAATCCATGGCATTTGTCATGAATTTCTACCCCACAGAATTAGCTGTATAGATTTAATATATGGGATTGCGATACAGTTTCGATATTTCTAATCCAGACGAATCATGATTGATGGAAGCGGCATAAATCGAAGTGGTGTCGCAATACCGCAAAAACACAACCCAATTCACTGTCGAAGCACTGAATTCCTACAATATTCATGCAGACGCGATTTGGGCGGAGGCAGGATTATATTTGCCCAAAAATATATTGACAACTCGCGATATCGGCGGCATAAATATGACGAATTTTATCATTTCACCCATCTAATATGCTAATTGGGGAACAATGTTTGTCGTGAAATTGAAATTTGCTCTGCTCCAACGCCAAATACAATTGCACGTATGCTCGGGAAGGTAGAAAAGACCAACTGGAGTGACTAAAAATAGTTTATGCTCTTCACTGAATTATGATTTTCATGCTATTCTGTGACTTTATGTGAAAAATTGTGTTTAACGCATGGGAAGGCCCTGAAAAGCTGCAAACAACCCACAGAAAACACATCAAGACGTTGTCTTAGAGGAAAATAGTGTTCTAGAAAGTTATAGGCTGTGAAGTTATCTTTCCAAAATGCTAATATTTTTGAAAATCCGCCAAAAATTGAGGCCGTTATGAGTGTTTTTGCTGCACAATACAAAGAAAAAGCTTTTATCACAAATAGTGGGCATTTATACCATTTAGAAGCAATTTGTCAATTTTGGTATGTTCTAGAGAGTTGTAGGCGATGAAATTACCTTTCAAAAGCCATATCAATTTTAAAAATCGGATAAAAACTTTAGAAGATATGAGCAGTTGTATGGGAGAAAGCGGAGCGTTTGAAACAGGATGTTGCAACTGAGTTCTAAGAATGATAAAGTAAACCAAATAAATAATCAAATTCTATAAATTATTGTATTGAGCTATTAATTAGGGATTTAATAACTGAGATTTCCTAGAAAAATTCACACAATTAGTTTTTAATTACACCGATTTAAATGGATAGAAAATCAGCATGAATAAATTGTAATGGATTCTGGATAAAATGTCCTGAATCCACCGGAATTTCCCACTCTGCTTACAAGGAGTCCAAATGATTGGAAGAATATGACTAATTGCTGCTCACCTGAGCTTGATTCATTGGCCATTTGAGGTGAGAGGCGAAAATGCAGAGACACATCAAATTAATTAGTTTCTCCGGGTCAATAATTAAAGATAATTCGAGTGTTGTTAATTTATTCCTGTCTTTTGTGTATAATTAATGGTTTATCGGACTTGACGGTTAATTGAAATCAATTTAATTTATTCAGGGCTTTCGGGATGGAGGGAAAAAGCGCCAACGGGAAGTGCTTTTGGGGGCCAAATTCAAGTCGATTTCGATGCTCTTCAGCATCTGCCATCATTTTCAATCATGATTATTTCCCATTGTCTCTATTGGCAAAAATATACACTCACTTTATCGCCTTACATCTTCCACCAGTGAATAAACAATTTCTCGGCTCTCTCTCACTCTGTCTCTGGATGGTATTATTTTTCTACGCCCACGCGGAAAACAAGAAATTGCCATGAAAGAGAAAATCCATTTAGAAAAAAAAGGAGGAAAACTCATTTCTCCATTCTCCGCTCAGACAGAGTAAAACCTTAGAGGCATAGAGAGAAAAGTAAATGACGTCGCATCATTGAATTTTCAAGTCCTCTTTTCTCCCAGTTCAATTAAAACTTTCTGCTATGGAGAACTTACATCCTTTTTTTCCACTTCTACCACGCATTTTCACACATTTTGGGGATTTCCTCCGAGCCTCCCCCTCCGCCCAAATTCTCCCTCTTCATGTGCGGCGGCGAATTATGGACGATGGCTTAGCGGCGAAAGAGGCTTTTAGGGCATTTCGCCAAGCCATATCTTAAATGGCAAAGAAGAGTCTTCTGGACGTTGCGATATTTTTCCTCCAACAAGCGAAGAATCCGATAGAATTCTGAACTATACGGTAAAAATAAATTAATAAGATGTGAATTCAAATCAAATCCTCACCCAAAAAAGCTCACTGTGATGCAAATTGCAGAGGAAAAAGCAGCGCAACTCGCAGCAACTTGGCGCGAACACAAGAAATTAATTGTTGGCAACTTTACTTCAATCGCAGACCTCTGCAAGTCGTGTTTTGTGCTGAATTCATATCATTTCCATATGCAAATACAATCAAGAGCATCCCAGGCCGCAAACCATGAAGACTGCAGAGCGTGGAATTGGACCAGGACTCTCGGATGGGGCGCAGGTCCTTCGCCTGTCGCTCGGCCCGCATCATCTGTCTCGTCTGGGGCGCCAGGGGGTGGCAATGCAGGGAAATAAACAGTCCAGGAAGGGATGATTGTTTTCTCAGTGGCGCAAAGCACTGGATTTATGGACAGTTTCACACTCTCAATTAAAATGTTTGTTTGGACGGAATTTCAAAAGAAAATACTTTAATAGGCAAAATTGCAGAGACACTTTTGTAGACATTTTTCATCAGCAGATGATAAAATCTTTGTGGCTTTATAAAATGAGTAAATTGAATTATAACCAATATTTATCATCAAAAAAGAAAAGCAAAAAAATATTATAAGAGAAAACTAGATTTTGGCCAGTATTTTATTCAAGAAATTGCAGGAAAAATGCATTTTATGAATTTATTAAATAAATGCTAATTGACCAAGAATTTTCCCAAATTCTTTGCAAAATTATGGATTTCAATGAAAAATCAACTTGTTTTTATAAAGATTTGCTACAAATAACAATTTCTTTAGCTTTTTTAAAAAGATTCGACGTCTTATCTTGTCCTGAGATGAGATCACATCGAAGTTTTGAGTAAAAGTCAGTTAATTAGCGGGTAAAAATTGACTAAAATCAATGGTTTTTCTTGCATGAATTCCATAAAAGTCCGTTAAAGTTTCCCCAGGTAAGAAAAGGTCATAAAACGATCGTCTAAAGTGTTTGTTTGAATTTCTAAATGATGGATTTTGTCCTGAGATTTCCTGAGATTTTACTGGTCAGAATTTTTCATGTACAATTTCAGTTGTTTAGTGTGTTATTTACTCTGTATTTTTCACCCAAGTTGTAAATCCTCTTAAGAGGAGAAACAAAATAAAACTACATTTCTGAAAGCTTCATCCATATTTTTGCGCAATGCATTTCATATATTTATTATTATCTGTTGCGAGAGTTTCTGTAGTCCATTGAATGGAAAGTTTACTCAATGGTTTTTCTTTCTCGTGCGTTCACAGATCCTGACTACAAAATGAAATCAGCTGCCCAAACTCCGGCCGCACACCATAATTCACGCTCAAATGATCCCGAAGTTGTTGGCAGAATGGTGGATGATAGGAAAACATATTTAGCTACGGTATGTAATCACCTGTCCGCCACTTCTCCACCCAGATTAAGCCCCAAGTGCACTGCACCGTAAGCTCATCACCCATTCAAAGAGAGTTAACACTATCACAACACACAAGTGAGCTTCGCTGCGAGCTTTCGGTTTCCACGGTTTTCACCCTGCGAACGCGCTTGAGTGTCAACAAAGAAATGCTCGAGAGGATTTTGTCAAGTGCGGAAATATCTATAAAGCACGCAAACTATCTTTCTTGCGATTAGTGTCATCGTCTTCAGGTGTGGCAGAAGCTCCGCCCAGATAATTCCTGGAGCTTTCAGCGAAATATGTGTTCAGCGAGCTTTAAATGCAGTCCACAATTACAGTAGTGAAAATTAGGTTAAGACACTCTTGTATGCTAGACAATATGCAAACGCAATTAGAACCATTTTCCTGACATGCAACAATAAGAAATTACCGATTTTCTGGACATTTTATTAAGAAATTGACTAAAAATCACACTTTCTTAAGAGCAAAATGCTGTAATTTTCACGGTTTATTGATTGTACTTAAACAATCATTTTGGCTTCTTATTCTACACTTTATAGTAAACCTGTGAGCAGAATTTGGGCCGCAGTTGTGCTTAAGAAACGAAGAAATGGTACAAAAGCTTTAAACGATAGCTGAAAACATACAAAAAGCACGTTGAAAAGTCCAAATTAAGGTGTTTAATGATGTAAATGTCTTCTAGATATTCCGAACTCATGATTTAATGTGGTTTTCCGAGGTAGTTTTATGGTTAAACACGGATTTAGAGCAAAATAAGCAGTTTCTTAACTCAATTTTCGCTATCCATTTACGCACGTTTCTCTGCAATTTGCAATATGTCGGCTCAGAATTGAGATATCGCCATGATCTCAACGCTATTTGAAAGATCATTAAATTCTAATCATTTCTTGTCATAAGGAAATTATCGTGAAAATTGAAAGAAATACGGAATTTTTATCACCAAAAGTAAAAATGGCCTAAATTTCACAGGTGTTCTAACCTAATTTTCGCTGCTGTATGTCGCTTTTCCACAATTCTAACCAAAGCTTTCGCGCTTTTCCACCCCCTGATTATGCGTCGCCCTTCAGAAGTGTGCTTTTCACCTTCTTCACGTGGCATTGAACTGATTTGCCAGCCATTTGGCACATGAAAGCTCTCGAATGTGCGCACGGAAAAGTAGCAACTAATTAACCATTTGTCAATTGCAAAGCGCGCCATCGTGAAAAGTCGCACACAAACACCAATTTCAGCGGTCAAGTGAGCTGAATTAATCATGAGTTCAATTTTTGCATGACCTTTCGCGAAAGCCGCGGTCACGAGCGCGTGTTTTTCTCATCGCGACCGCCAATTTCGTGATAATTAAGTTAATGATGAGGTCAATTTTTGGCACGTGGAATTTGCTTTTTAACTCAAAGATTGATTTTACGCTACAAAAACACCATTTTACGGTGCGCGAGAAACAATATTTAGATAGAATCTGGGTCAGAGACAAATTTATCCTGTTTATCATTACATTCTTCATCATCAGAGCATATTTTTGGGCAATTAAAAACACTTAATAAAACCAGAAGAGAAGAAGATTGGACAGTAAAGATTTTTAGCATTATTAAAGAATGTTATTCAAGCGTTTTAAAATGTCTTCTTAATACTCCAGAACATTCAGAGGCAGATTTGCCTATAAATCTGCTTGATGACCAAATAAAAACTCACTGATGACCAAGTTATGACTTTATCACTAAGGTTTTCAGCGATTATTTGAGAGATTTTGCATTTAAACAGTCTTTCTGTCATTTTCTAACCTTAATTTTCATTAAAATAAAGGGATTTTTGGAAATATTGTTCCAAACTTTGCAAACTTAAAGCGAAGAGTTAGTTTTTGGTTAGAAATTGGTTAGAATTTGGTAAGAATAATGAAATTGACCATTTTCAGTGCCAAAAGGTTTGAAAAGCTCTTAGAAATGAAATGAAATCGCAAATAATTCCAGTTTGGAGGTTATTTATTTGAATTTGAACTCAAGAAAGCTTAAATTCTCAAAGTAATCCCCGTTTTTCTTGCAGCAGGATGAGCTGCACTACGCAGAGCTGTCGCTGGCCGTGTCGAAGCACATAGAGAGCAGCGGCGGCGCGCCGCCGGCGGGTCTGCTGTGCTCCGGCAGCAGTAAGCAGCTGGCGCCGGGGCCCACGGGCACGCCCTCGCAGGACGCCGGCCAGAAGAAGCCGCCCGCCTACAACTACTTCGACGAACCCACCATCTATGCTCAAATCGACCACGGCTACAAGGCGGCGGCGAACGCGCCGCCCGCCACCTCGCCCTCGTCCGCCGCCTCGGCGCAGACGTCCACGCTCTACCCGGCGAAGCCGTTCCTGCGCGAGATCGTCACGATGCGAACTCCGCTCGTGTTCACGCAGCAGGAGAGCTGCGTGTAATCGCCGCCGCGGCGCCCCAATCAGCTCTGACTAATCCTGCAAAATGTACATTTTTCGGCGCCACGCCTAGGATAATTTTTCTGTCACTCTTAAACAGGAAAAAAGACACTGAATCTTCGGACGATCGATCGCAAAGATTATTTCGCATCCATCACAATAATATAATATGAATAATAAGAAGAAATGACGAAGAGTTGAGGAAAAATCCGCGAAAAGTTCTGTTCAATCAAAAGAAAGAAGAAAAGAAAAAGAAATAATAATGGTGTTAAATGTTGTTTTCTCATTGTACTGAAGTGATCAAAGATTTTTTACACACTCTGTCTAAAAATTATTACAACGATTTGAGAGGCAAAAGCAAAAAAAAAAACCATTGAAAACTTTATCTGAAAACGTGGACAAAATTTGCGTAAAAGAACTACTTTTCATATCATCTAATTCCTTCCAAGTAAAATATTTAAAAGAAGAAAAAAAAACGATTATTTTTTCTCATTATTATTGTAACTTTCATAACATGATATAAATTATTGCATAAGGTTTCACTCATTCAGCATTTAGCGAATCTCTATCGAGACTTTTTGGATGGTTAAGAAGCAGCAATAAATAGAGGAGAAATCCAAAATCATCCCATCAAGGAAAAACCCAAGAAAACCACTCGACAAGTGATCCTCCTGTTTTACAGGTGACCATCGAAATTCCACTGCATTTCCCCAACTTTGGAGCTTTGAAAATGTCATTTCCAAAATAGAACAATTCGTTAGAAACTCAGGAATCGACAATTCTAGAATTTAGCCTAATTCTCCTTCCCAAACTTCCATAAATTAATGACAAATAAACTGAGAAAACAAGGATAATTTGCAAGAATAAAAAAAGATGTTTAAAAAATCAGTTTTATTTATTTTAAAATCCTTTTCAAAGACTTTTTTTGAAAGTCGTTTTAAAAAATAGTACAGAAAACTGTAGTTTAGGAATAATTTATTAATTTACAAAATTTTTTTAAAACATTTTGTGCGCTTTTTTATTTAAAATTTTTGGAAAAAGTCTATTTTTCTGAATTTTCTGGATAATTTTACTTTTTCCTTATTAGAAACTTGAAAAAATCATTTTTGGAATCTCGCATTTTTTTAAATCTATGATTTGAAGATATTTTCCAAAATTACGTAAATAATTTTGAGTTTAATAATCAATTAATGAAAAAAATTAAAAATTTTGCTCTAAATCAATTTTTTGAGAATCCAAAGTGTATTTTTTTATGTAAAAATAATTTTTTTTAAATGTGAAAAACGACGAAATAATTATTTTAATCTAATTTTCTTTTAAAATCACAATTTTTATACCCAATTTCAAACAATTTCCCTTTCATTCAGTCCGCATTTTGCAACAATGCAGGAAAATTCAGCCACACAACGAATTCCGTGGAGAAAAATCGACCAAAGCGCGCTGAAAAATCATCTTTTTCACTGCCAATTTTCCCGCCCTTTTCTTCCAATTTGTCGCAAAATACAAAAATACATTTCGCTCAAGCTCAAGAGCATTTTGAAGGCAATTTCTTCTTCAATTGCGATGGTCACCGAACAATAAATAAATCCAACAAGAAGAAACTCAGAAAATAAATGGAAAAAAATAAGTAGATAAAGAGAATAAACCTTGAAATTGTATAGTGTAACATAAGTGAACAGAGAATTATTTTAACATACCGCGAAAAAAGGAGAATTAATACATATTATTATGGTGTGAATGTTGGCAAATTATGCGAGAAGAAGAAAGGAAAAAACACATGAGACTAAGATATTATTCGGGAATAAGTGGGGAAAAAAACCATCAAATTACAATATTTCTCAAAAGTAATGGCAAAAAAAACACAAAACTATCAAATGTAAAATTATACTCAATGTTTACAATTGTCGATCGCGCCTCGAGACGGAGGATTTTAAGGATAATACTTGAGGTGTGGTGGAAATCCAGTAGGTAAATTTTGTATTTAAATGAATTTGAACGTGTAAAAATTATGTAAAAATCATAACTCCTAAATAAATTTAAGACATAACTATAAACCTAAATAAAGAGAAAACAATGAGAATTATGTAATTGAATTGCTATAAACAAAAGAAAAAAACGCACTGTCATTCTTTTTTAACGGGGATTTTTATCAAATATTATAATAAAAATGACGAGAATGTCAATTTTTTAGGACAAATCTTAGCAAACACTTGTTGCTTTGTTTTTCTTCGTTTTGTTAAAATCTGTTCTTATTGAGAAGATCTTTTATGAAAATTGTTGGAAGAATTGATTTTCTTCGCCACTCATTTTTCCCACTGAAGGCACACTTTTCATGTCCAACACTGAAGAGCATGAAGAATTACAGGTTTTCTATTTACCAAAAAGAAAAAGGAAAAATTGACTATATATATAGAGAGAGAGAAAAGCGTGGAAATGTGAGGATTTGATGGGGAGAATTTTTTGATTTTTGAAGAGTAAAAACATGTGAACTTCTTCTGAAATTTACACTAAAAGAAACCGATGAAAATACATGAAAAATGATACAAATTGAAACACAGTTTTTTTTTTCTTTCTCCTTCTCTCAACACTCGCGCGCCCCTTTATTGCCCCATCGCGTCTACATGACGTCGTCCGGAAGCTGTTCAGGCCACGATGTCGTCTCCCTTGGTCGCCCGCGTGTAGATCAGCTGCGAATGGTGCTTCACCACCAGCTTGATGTGGCCATTCTCGCGGAGCTCATTCAGCGCCTGCTTCGCCAGCGAGCCGCGCACCTTCAGACGCTCAGACACCACAGAAGGCGTGATGAGCTTCCAGTGCGGCACTTCCTTCAGGAACTTCTCGTACGTCGCCTTGTCGAATAGCACCTGATTGTTGAGCTTGTCGCGCACTTTTCCCTTCGACCACTTCTTCTTCTTCGCCTTGCCGCCGCCGGAGCCCTCCTTCTTCTTCTGTGTCTTCTGGGGCTGCTTCGCCGTCGACTTTGCGTCCTTCTTCGGAGGCTGCAAACACACAGAGTGAGGTTATGTCGCATTCTCTCCCAAATTCACCCGCTTTTCTCCACTTTCCACCCCAATTCCCATGCTTTTTTCAGCCAATCTGACCCTCTGCCACCTCCACATCCCTCTTACACACGCCCCAGAAGCGAATTTCAGGGAGAATCCATGGAAAACCGATGGCACATGTGAACAACTGCGTGACGCATATTTATCATCACTTTTACCCTCATTTCCCCCACAAAACCCCCCATTAGAGCCCTCCACAGCCTCCACGGATCACTCCTCTACACATTTGCGGCATTTTCCACCCTCCAAGTCAGATATTTGCTGAGAAATTCACGGAAAACTGGAGCAAAAGCACATGAACTCACCATCTTGTATTTTTTTCACGCAAAAGAGAGTGACAACCGGAAATTCGCGCCTGGCAACACTATTTTCGCACACTTTTTCGAACAGTCGAGATGGGAGTCGCAAAAATGTGGGAAATCGGGGAAATTTCTCCAAAAACCACGGAAATCAACCTGAATTTTCCTCAATCTCGTGCTCAATATCAATTTCCACCCATTTATAGTAATTAAAAACGCTTTCAAACACCTGAAATTCTTCTTCGAACTGTTATAAAACATGCGTTTGTTGCTCACTTCACAGTTTTGAATTTGAATGGCTGTGCAAATGTCATAAATTTTCTTCTCTCTTGTTTTGATCCCTGAGAAATACATTTCCAGCCGCTTTTCCGTGGCTCTCCGGATGGAAGTGGAGCGCGTGCTGAAGCTGCCGGACAGTGGCGAGGCGGAGGTGGTGTGCGTGAAGCAGGACGACGCTGTCACGCTGAGAGCCAATCGAGTGGCCTTGGAAGCTCTCCTCGAAGGATTTGACCTGAAATCTCTGTCCAAGACTTTCCTGTGAGTTTCCCACCGCACAGACTAATCCTCCTTGCTGACTCTCTCTCTCACGCGCTGGGCAGGAACCATGACATCAAGCTGCGCACTCTGGCGCAGCTCACGGAGGAGGATCTGGTGCTGCTGGGCATTGAGGACTCGGCGCTCCGGGAAGCCATGCTGAAGGATTTCGCGTGTCAGCCCAACCAAGTACCTGGCTTCGACGAGTTCCTGCGCGCCCTCGACCGCGAGTCCTGCAACACCCGCACGATGCGCTCAGTGATCACGCACCTGCACACGCTCCAGGACTCCGTCGTGTCGTCGTACCTGAAGCTCTACATGGAGAATCCCAACGACATTCCCATCGGAGACTCCTTCGCCACCGCCTACGTCATCCAGACGCTGGACGAGATCCTCAGGCGCGCCCACGAGATGGACAGCGACCTGGTGCGGATTCAGGAGGTGAGAAAGCGCAGTTTCCCGAAATCCCGACAACTAAGCGTGAGGGAGTGTTAAATATGCTCAGTTGGCTGTGAAATTCGGTAGCGTTCTTTGTCGTCAGCCATTTTGAATACCGAAAAAACAAGTTTTCCCCATTTTCTCAGGTCCTTTGGCAAAGATTCATCTCAAATTTTAGTATCTTATAGCCGACGTCGAGACCTTTCCAATGAACCCTTTTTTGAAACTCTAGGTCCTTCCGGGGCCTAGATATTGGGGGCCAAAGTTTAGCTGCAAATCGAGTTTCTGGTTCCTCTTCGCAGGACTACAACAGAATGAACCTGCCAAAGAAGAAGTCCGTGCGCCATCTGAAGACGCTGGGCAGCGTCGCGTGCGTCCTGCTCGCCGGCTTCGGCCTGTACAAGCTGGCCACGTCGCGATCCTCCCTGGCGCACCTCACCGACTACCTGCAGCCCTTCCTGGACAGCCAAGTGGCGCCGCCGGACTGGTGAAATGAGAACTGAGATGCCTTGTGAAGAGTTTAGGTTTATTTTCAATACAATACTCCTCTCTGCAATCGCGTCCTTTACTTCATCCCGTCCAGCTTCGGCGCCGGCACGAGCGCCACGCTGCGCTCTTCCGGGCTGTGCTGGTACTCCAGCAGCACGAGGCTGTTCTGGCCCTCCAGCAGGAACTCCTTCGGCACGTACAGCGTGATTTGGGGGCCGGCGAGCGGCCAGTATCTGCCCAGGTTGTGGCCGTTGACGAAGGCCACGCCCTTGCCCCAGCCAGAGGTGTCCAGGAACGTGTCCAGCAGCTGGTCGGCGCGCAGCTGGAAGTCGCTGGCGAAGAACACGGGCCCGTTGCGCACGGAGCCCCTGAAGTCGCCGCCGTCGCGCGTGAGCGCCAGGATCTCGTCGCTCTCCTCCAGCGGGCAGCCCGTGATGGTCCAGTTGAAGAGGTCCGAGCGGTCCAGGCTCACCGAACTGAGGATGCCCTTGAAGTCGTTGGCCACGTTGTAGTTGATCCTGCCCTGGCTCTCCACCACGATCTGCAGCGTCGCCGGCGAGTGCGGCCAGCTGACGGGCAGCGTGTCGATGTCGTTCTCCCGGCTCAGGATGCCCACGAGCTGCCGGTCGATGTACACCAGCGCGCGATCGCGCAGCTTGCCGATCGTGAGGGCGCTGGGGTCGCGCTTGAGGCGCGGCAGCGGCGTCTCGTACAGCACGACGCCGGCGTTCTGGTCCAGCACCTCGAACGACACCGGCATGCGCGAGAACACGGGCGAGCGACAGAGCCGCCGGCGCGCGTGGCGCGACAGCAGGTTCAGCCGCGGCGTCAGGAATACTTTTCCAAAGTCCAGCTTCGGCGCCGGCTCGGGAATCTCGAGCGCCGGCGCCGAGAAGTACTTGGCGATCGTGTTGCGGATCGCGCGCAGCTTCGGCGTGGCGTCACCGGCCTCCGTCATGGGGGCGTCGTAGTCGTAGCTCGTGACGTCGGCCTGGAAGCCGCCGATGCCGCCATTGTTGGCGCCGGCGGTGAAGCCGAAGTTCGTGCCGCCGAAGAACATGTAGAAGTTCACGTTGGCGCTCGCCTGCAGCATTTCCTCCAGCGTCCTCACCACCTTGTCCGTGTCCACGCGCTGCATGCTCTCCTGCCAGTGCGTCAGCCAGCCGGGATAGTACTCGGAGTTTACCAGCGGCCCCCTGGCCTGGTGCTGCCGCAGAATCTTCCACTGCGCGGCCGCGTTCGTGCCTGCGAGCGACAAATTGGACAATTAACCGCTCGCTCTCCTCATTTGCTAATGGAACTTCTGGCCACAAATCAATTACACAAATTAATCGAGGGAGTTTCTAATTAAATGGCTCAATTTAACACGTTAATTGAAGTGTTAGAAAAGAATTTTGAAAGGCAACTTTGCTCAGCAAACTTCGATTGCTATGAAAACTTTGATTCAGAATTCTTAAAATAAGACTTTAACGCTTAAAACCCTTAAAACTGCTTAAAACAGAGTTCAAGAACGCTCTTTAATCATTGATTTCACAAAAGCTTGAAGGTTTTTAGGGGAAAGCGGGGTCCAAGGGGTAATTATCTTGTCGATTTAGATTTCGCTTCAGCGCCGATCTGTCGATATATCGAATGTAATCGGCGCCAATTTTCAAGGAAATTTGTTTAGTGAGTAATTTTTCGTGTTTTTACGCCCCCTAATCAAATTGAGCCTCGAATTGTGCGTAAATCATAATTCTGCACATTAAAAGTTTTTACGATGAGTTATAATTTCCGGAAGATTGAAAGAATTCACACTTGCCTGGCCCGAAATCGATGGTGGCAAAGACATTTTCCACCACGCCGCAAGACATTACGGAAGCTCCGTCAGTCGTGAAGAGCAGCGCCTTGTCCTGAACGTACTTCAGCGTCTCGTCTCGGAGCCACTTCATGTACTCCCTGTCGCAGGCCTTGAAGGAGCCGTACTCGTTCTCCACTTGGACCATGATGATCGGACCGCCATTGCCGTAGAGATAGGGCTGCATCTTGGGCATCAGCTCGGCGTACCACTTCGCCACCTCGTTGAGGTAATCTGCAAGTGCAGGCAATAAGACAACCGCATCGATCGATTTAGAGGCTCATCAAAAGAGAGATAATGTGGCTAAAGTCCATATTTTTCTAATTATGCTGTAATTTTTTGATTATTGACCAGAAAATCAACTGAAAACTAACTAAAATCTAACTGATAATTATATAATTGTGAATTTCCGACAAGATATTGTGATTTTCTTCCTCTAATTTCACTTTTAAGTATCTTTTTCGCCATTCTAGACTAAAACAGCTGTTAAGTAGAATAAAATGAGGTTATGTTTGACTTTTGCGTTGTTTCCATCTTTCCAGCTTCCAGAATCACGATTTTCATTGAGTACAGATGCGCAATTCTACAAATAAGTGAAAATAATGTCACTTAAGCTGTTATTTAGTCTTAAATAAGTCACATAACCTAGAAAAATCACGTCAAGATGCTGATTTGAATAGAAATTGTATTAATTCTAAAATTTCTATGAGTAAAATAATCAGTAATCAATATCAAAGCAGTGAATGGAATATTGCAGACTCTTCTAATACTCTTGCCGATCTGTACATCACTTCCAGCCACATTATCTCCCCCTTGAGACTCACTTGAGTCGAACGTTCGCAGCTTGATGGCGGGATATTTGGTGAGGAGCCAGTAGGGAAAGCCGCCCATGTCGCGCTCGGCGCAGATGTAGGGTCCCGGCCGCAGGATCACGAGCAGCTCCTCCTGCACCGCCAGGTCCAGGAAGTGCTCCAGATCCGCCATTCCGCTCCACACGTACTGATCGTTGTCCTTGGGATTGTGCGACGACCACTCGACGTACCTGCAAAGCCAAGCGAATCTCTGTGCTTCTGCTCAGATTCTGAGATTCTCGCCACTCACGTGCTCACGGCGTTCAATCCGGTGGCCTTCATGAGGCGCAACTTGTGGCGCCAAGTCTCACGCGGCGCGCGAAAGTAGTGAAAAGAGCCCGAAACATAGCGAAAAGGCTTTCCGTCCAGCAGAAAAGTGTCGTTATCGTAGTCAATTTCGAATTTCCTCTCGCTCAACTGTTGGGAGAAATTCCCGCCGTTGGTCTGGAGGATCTGCACGCCCGTCACGAGCACGGCACTGAGCAAAACCACAAAAATCCGCAGCATTTCGTCCGCGCAAAGCCCGCAAACAGCACGAAACTCTATCGGCAACTGAGCCTCAAAAGCCACTTGAGTGAATGCCAATAACGCCAATAACTAATGAACTTGTCCGACGCTTAAATGGGAATAAATTGGACGCGACTCTGGATGAGCTTGAGTCTCTTTTTCGACTGGTCGGCAGAAAAGTTTAATGCTCCCAATGAGTGCGGAGGCTTTTCTTTGTTGGCACCGCAACAAAAAAGAGAAGATAATGCTCACTTGTGGAGTTAGAAACAAATAAACTTCACGTGTATTGAGAACTCTTGGAACTCTTCTTAGAACACTGACACTGATCGAAACCCTGAAATTTCTTATCTCCCGAGGATTTCAAGTGGACGATTTGTGATTAAGTGTGATTTAGAATTGATTGCTGATAGTTGAAGATTACTGGAAATTTCCATATTGATTTTAACACATCAATTCTCTGGACAAATTGTAATAGAATTCAATTGGAATCAGTGCCAATAACGCCGAATAATTGCTCTAGAGCGATGCACGCAATGCTATACGAACTATTAAATGCTCTTCTTCTCAAACCAAATTAAGCTATAAAGTTCACAAAAGCCTACAAAGCCCATTATAGTTGCTTCAAATAAATTCTTCACGGTCATCTCCCAATTGTCTACATTCATATGCAAATTAGGGGAGTTTTTGTTTGCCAAATTGTTTGACAAAGTTCTTGCCAAGGGGAAAATCACTACAAGATTTTTAACAACTAAAAAAAACTAAAAAATGTAAGTTAGAATTATTATCTCTGGAGATATTGTGGCGGGAATGCCACTGTCATGGCGGCCTTCTCCCTCTGACGAGATTCTCGCTACCATTATTTGACGCGCGAGTTAATCAGTCGTATCGTGATCGCGGAGATCAGCGAGATGGGGCGCCAGAGGGAGTTGGTTGCATATGTGAAACTTCAAAAATTATTACAATATAAAAAAATTAGAAAATTATACTCAAAAACGATTGATTTTTCTAGAAATTATTTTTTAAAAAATCAAAAAATTGAATAATTTAAAAATTTAGATTTTAAGAAGTATTTTTAAAAATTCAAAAATCTATAAATGACCAAGATATTCAGGCAAAAATCAGTAGTTTCACACCCTTTGGCTCTTCTTTATCTCTGAATTCCATTGAAAAATTGCCAGAAATATATTTTCTTGGCAAGTCTTTCAATTGCTTCCACTGCGCTTTCGATCGAAAACACATAAGTAGGTCATAATTGAGGACGGCAAAAGTTCTGGAAGAACCGGAAAAACCACCGCACTTTTTATTTCCGAAAAATGATAAATTACAGTGGCGCAAAACACTCTAACACAAAAAGTGTTTCAATTAAAATTCATTTATCCATCCAACCGTGACTGACTTCTGAACGATACCATTGTCGGCATTGGCGCTTTTTGGAACTCGAGCATCATGATGGAGTTGTCGCCCACGCGCAGCACCGACGCGGGAATGTACATGGTAATCTGCGGGCCTACAACTGGCCAGTAGCGCCCCAGATTGAAGCCGTTCACGTACAGAACGCCTTTGCCCCAGTTCGAGGGGTCCAAGTAAGTGTCGCCGATGTCATCGGCTGTCAGTCTGAGGTTGCCCAGGAAGAACACAGGTCCTTCCGTCAGGACGCCGCTTTGGGATAGGCTCACCGTGTTGCCAGTGACGCGCTGGACGAATTCGTTCATCGTCGCTCTGTTGGACAGAGGATATCCTGAAATGTCCCAAGATCGCAGCTCCTCAAGCTCCCCGTCGCGCTGCTGAATTGTCACATTCCCCAGAATGCCCTTGTAGTCGTCCAGCTTGTTGAAGTTGATTCGTCCCTGATTCTCCACCAGGATCTTGAGACGAGATCCTGTTGTTGGATTCAGCGGCAAGGAGTGCACGGCATTTTCCCGGGACAAGCAGCCGACAAAGTGATTGTCTTGGTAGATAAGAGCACGATCGGCCAAACCGTTCACGGTGAGAACGGTTGGATCAATCAGGATCTTCGGCAGGTTCGTCTCGTACAGGATCAATCCCGACATTTGCCGAAGACTCTCGAAAGTCACCAAATCCGAATTCTGTCGCGTGTTCTGCACCAGAAACTGCCCGTCATCGGAGAGCATCTTGGCGACAGGATGAAGTGCCAAATCCGGATAAATCCGACCGACTTTGGCTTCGGGAACGGGAATTGTGGGAAGTGTGAGGAATTCTCCGATCACATTTCGGATCTTGATCAGTTTCATCGTCGGATTGCCAGCCTCGTCCATGGGAGCGTCGTAATCGTAGCTCGTCAGGTCGGCTTGATACTTCCCAATGCCCCAATCATTGGCACCGGCGGTGAAGCCGAAGTTCGTGCCGCCGAAGTACATGTAGAAGTTCACACTGGCGCCATCTTGGAGCATCTTGCGCAGCACATTCGCCACTTCGTCGGCGTCTCGGCGTTGGTTGTCTTCCTGCCAGTGCGTCAACCAGCCGGGATAGAACTCCGAATTGACCAGCGGTCCTGTCGGCTGATGCTGCCGAACGAGGGCCCAGATTGACTCCATTTCGTCGACTCTGTCGATTCCGAAGTCCGTCGTCACGAAGGCACCTTCAGTGATGCCGCACTCGAAGCGCTCGTTCGGGATGTCGACGGTGAAAAGGACCGCGCTGTCGCCAACGTACTTCTCCGTTTCACTCTTCAGCCAGGACATGTAGTTCCTGTCGCAGGCCTCGAACACGCCGTACTCGTTCTCCACTTGGACCATGATTATGTTGCCGCCCTTGCCGTAGAGATAGGGATCGATCTTGGTGAACAGGACTTCGTACCACGTCCTGACAGCGGCCAGGTAGTTAGCGTCACTGGTGCGAACGCGGATGCCAGGATACTGGGAGAAGAGCCAGTAAGGAAGTCCGCCCTGAAATTGGAATAAAGTCTAAGCATCTAAAAATCCCAGTCCAAGCCTTATTCAGGGATCAGCGAGTACGTTATCTCTCTCGGCGCAAATGTACGGTCCCGGCCGAAGGATGACATAGAGACCGAGCTTCTGGCAGAGTTCCAGGAAGTACGGCAAATCGGCAAACTCCTCCCACTCGTAAATGTTCGGCTCCGGCTGATGCGTCGCCCATTCGACATACGTGTCGATCACGTTCAGTCCGGCAGCCTTCATGACCGTCAGTTTGTCCTCCCAAGTGTCTCTGAAGGCGCGGAAGTAGTGAAAAGAGCCCGCGACGTACTGGAACTTCTGCCCGTCCATCTCGAAGTCCGTCTCGCCGACGCGAAATGTCCTCTGGAAGTACACAAATGCGTGAATTGACATGATAAGCTATTGATGGCATTTTGCTACCTTCGACATTGTTAAAATCGTTAAACTTATACGATCGAATATCGCTGAGAGATAATGCTTGACTAATATTTGTGGCGTTGGAGCGAAACGATAAACTCATGGAGAGTTTTCTTTCGCATCAGAGTTGAAATTGTTGTTTATAGATGAGCAACAAGTTTAAAGAAATAATAAAATTTGGTTTTTATTTCAAGGTTTTATCGAAGAAAAAATCTTTTTCTAGGTTATGTAACGAATTACGGATGGATTTTCATGCTAAAGTCAACAAGAATGCTAATCATTGGCGGAATTAAGCATTTTCATACGATAAACAATTCTATTCTGAACCTTTGAAGTCAAACATAACCTCAAAAAGAGTGTTGCGGACATGGAAAATGTTTATTTAAACCACTTTCTAAACGATTTTAACTGGCAATTCATAAAAGATGATTTTTTTTAATCTAGAAAGCTTTCAAGTGGAATCTCTTAAGATCTCTTAGTGATCATTTTGAGGTTATGGTCGGAAAAGACACTAAGAAAAGCGATTTGAAGTGGATTTTTTCAGAAATTTTGCATAAAACATTCAAATATTTATTATAATTTGCGAATTATTGTGGAAACAGTCTAGAAATTAGGTTAAGTGCAGATTATTTCCCCCTTGGGTTTTACAACCTTCTCTGACAATATCAAACTTCTTTTAGAAAACAAGTTCTTTGAGAGAATTTTAAAGAAAAGTTGTGCAATTGAATCGCTAATGAGCTCAAGATTGAACAAATATCATTTAAATATAATTCAGAAAGCTTCCAAAATGGCCGTTTCCTGAGTCTGATTCACTATTTTTGTGGTTATGTTCGATTTTATAACAATTTGCAGTGTTTTTTACTCTTGAAGTATTTAAAACATATTTTTCTCGAAGGAATGCAAACACAACTGATCTGTTTACGCATTCCAGCTAATATCTCCCCCTTGAATCTCTTATCTACGACGATTTTAACTCTGTAAACAGCGCGCAACAGAAGCAACAGTTTCTGTATCGCGACATTCGGGCTTTCACTCTTCGCGGGAGAGAGTCGACTGTCTCTCTCTCGCGGCTCTCGTACTCACTTCGTCGTCTCCAGAGACGGCGAGAACCACGCCCGTGGTAACTGCAGCCACGACCACGAGCCCGACGACGCCGGACAGCAGCCAAGTCTTGAGAGTCATCTGCCTGTGGAGCGCAAAGGGAGTTTTGGATTAACCGGAGAGGCGCGATAAGATTAATCGGGCGATTTGATCAGACTGACGAACAGTGCGAAAACGCATGTGAATCTCATTGGGATTTAAGGCGTGCCAGGAGGTTGGCAAGAGACATTGATCGAATGCAAATGATCGCGAGAGAGGCAATAAAATCAACTTACATGGTTTTTCAGGGATGTTTGACGGTGAACTTCTATTGTGGAGAAGTTTCGAGTATCAACTGAGCAATTATTGGAAGAAGCACGGAGAATTATGAGGAATTCAACAATTGTCAGATGTGATTAGATTAATGTGAGCCTCTCGAAACTGATAAGTTGCTTCTCTTGATGATCCATAAATGAAAAGTGGCATTTAATTGATACGCGATAAAACTCTGTTGTGCACATTTTCGTGGCCGTTGAGGCGATAATCTTTCAAGTGAGTCGATTAGTCTGTAAGTTAGTTTGCTTTCGCTAGATGGCGCCAGTGCTGGCATGATGTTTTTTCATGGTTTTCTTATGGTGTGCTCGAGAGAAAAGGCGTGAGAGAGAGAGACTTTCAGTCCATCGAGGAGTTTTGTAGTGTTCGGACGTTGAATTTCTCGGCGCGCATTTTATTTTCTGTGTTTTTTCCCACTCTTTTGAGTTCTTTTTCTCCCTCCCCACAAATGCAACATTATTTATACCTTGGCAATATTCCTTCACATTTGATGGATTAGCTGGTGGTGAAGTAGAGAGTTTTTCACGACAAGTTTGTGCGAAAAGAAGAAAATTCTCCTTGGAAGTTCTTTTGGTGTGTTGGATTCAAGCCGAAAGACGAGAGTTTAAAAATACACACACACACACACACGCACACACACACACAGTGCCTTGAAAACGATGATGTGATCAGCCCAAGAAGAAGTGCTCCGGAAATAAAATTGATTTCACTTTGAGAAGTATATTTTCCATGGATTCTGTGTTTGCGGTTTTTGCGCGAAAAATTGTGTGCTAGAATTGCCATCTCTCGCGAGACATCTTCAGCTTGCGCGACTTCTTTTGCCCTTTTGCGATAAGCCAACCAGAAGGAGAGTCTCTCGTTCATATAGAAGGAGAAAAAGCCAACAGCATCATCATGATTCATGTTGGAGACAACACTTGGAATTTGCGGGTTTTTATAACCGATCTGCAAGTGGAGAAGACGCTGAGAGTGCGAGGAGATTTGCACATTGGCGGCGTTATGTTGAAATTAGTCGATCCAGGTGAGTTTGCTTTCTTCATCTTCGGAGCCAAAGAGTCACAAGGGATGATTCAGAATCGGCGCGAAACGGACCTTTGACCACATTTTTTCTTTCGGGGCCTCAATTCTTGCTGCCATTCCCAATTTTAGCAGCTCTCTTGTGTAATCCAAAGCCCACACAAAAGCAAAAAGACACACAAAAGAACCTTCAAACAACTCATGGACCGAATCTCCGTGTTAATCTGAATGTCTGATAAGATTGTGGCTCTCATTCTGCCTTTATCACGATCGTGAGGTATTCTGGCTGTCATGTGTTACTTTTAAATCACAACAGTTTATCCGAAAACCCTAAGAAGACCTTATAAAGAAGTATTTTTCGCCAATCGACATGACTTTTCTCAGCTTTATTCAGTCTCATGATATGGATTTTAATGTATAGTTTTAATATCTTGACGTTTGGCCACGCTGACCATTTGACAAGTGCTTTGGATGCTCTTTTTTCTTTGATTACGAATTAAAAATGAACTAATTAACATTTTTCGTTGCTGTTTGCGCCAAATGAAAGCTTTTTCAATTGCCATCACTTAAATAAATAATTGTCATTCAAAATTGGCCACAGTGGCCACAAAGTGTTTTCTAGTCAATTTTCTAGTGTTAAAACTAAGCAGTTCTGAGGATGTTTGATGTTATTTCTGTTATTTCATGCGTGAAGCGGTTTTTAGACCGTCTTTTAGTGTTCAGAGCTAAATACGATGTAAAAATTATGTTAACACAATTTGATCGTAACACATTCACTGTTTAACTAGGAATCAATTTCTGTATTTCTGAGAAATCAATTTTATCTCTCCGGTTTTGCTGTTCCCGAGAAAATTCTTATCTGCTTAGTAAATTAGCATGAAAAATTGGCAAAAGAATGTAATTTATGATTATAAATAAGCGCAATTTCCAACGAAATGTGATTTTGTGTGGTATTTTTAGCCAAAAGCATCTAATTAATATTAAAGTTGATTAAAACATCGGATATTTCATTCAGATTTATCAACGCAGACACGCAATGACGGGGAAATACAGATGTTCAGGTCAAAAGTCGAGAAATGACGAATTTATCGGAAGAATTGTATAATTGAAATAATTCGCATGGCTTCAGCGTCATAATCATTTTTTTGCCCGATACGAGGTCAAATGTGTTGAGAAATGGTGTGTTTTTGGCCAATTTAAATATGTGTTAAGTGAAAATTGAAAACAAAAATCACTTGACATTTTCCTTGTTTACAACAATAAATTCTCCGAAATGCTGTAGTAAAATGCGTGACGCGAGCAGAAAAGAGTGTCTTCTGGTATAAATGGGGAAGGAATCTCACACAATCTTGTGCACTTTCTTGAAAGAATTTGACTTTGTGTGAGTGTTTTGTGTCTTTTTTTTCGTTGGACTGTTGTTGTTTCCTCTTCTGGTTCTTCCTCCGCAGTGACTCTTTTGCCTTTCTAGAAGTGGCCAACGATGAGTAGAAATTTACAGACCAAGAAGAGTTGGAAGATGTTCAAAGACACGCTCTTTCCCATCTGTTGGAGAGTGTGTGTGTTGGAGAGTGGCGTGAAAAAGAGTGATTTTACACAAGGGGAAGATAATATGCCTTCTGTACACCACTTCCTGACATTTCTGAACGTCTTTAAAGGCATTTTCCATCATTTCTTTGACTCCTTCAATGGTTTTTCATACTCATTTCCAACTTATCGCAATCTAATCCGGGTTTTTCTGTCTAGATTTGCCTTAGGAAAGTGCTGAAAAAAATTTTGACCAGATTGTTACGTCATAATCTGACTATAAAACCATTCTTGGGCTAATTTTAATCGTTTTCTGACTTGAAAATGGTGATTTTACAAGATAATTAGGTTTAATTTCCTTTTTTCTTAAGCACAAACTGCGAAAATAAACATTTTTCTTCACTTAAATGACATTTTTGAGGTTATGATTGACTTTTAAGCTTTTTCTCACATAATATGAAGGTTTTTTGAACAGAAAACTTTAGCTTTGCTGAGAAAAATGAGAAATATTCTCAGATTAAACACAATTTTCATGATTTTAAGGGATTTCTTCATCACCCAGAATCTGTAATTAAATCAACATAACCTAGAAAAAGCAATATAATTGATTTTTCTGTTATAGAATAGTGTAGAAAATGTCTAAATTTGTTGAAACAGAAGGTTTTGTAGTGCAAATAATCGAAATATTTGAGCACTTTTAATTCCAAACACTTCCTTGAACCACTGCTGACCAAAATATCTTCCCCTTGATCTTACACCACGACAAGACGGTGACGGAGGAATTGATAGTGTGTCCGGATCTGAGGGAGGAGGAGGAAAGAATTGAGTGACGTCTTAAGTCAAAATATTGGACAAGCGAGAAGAATTGGCTTCGGTGCAGTTTTTCGCGTGCAAAAAGACTCGCGATATGAAAGTCTCTCGATGCAATTTAACACACTTGTCGAGAGTGTGAATTTGTGGCTCTCTTGGAAAGGATTTCCAAGAGTCTGGTGAGACACAGACGGTGTTTTTTTTTTGCTCTCCACGCAGCTCAAGTTGAACAACTTCGAGGCCAAATTTGAGAAGGGGCAAAAAAAGATGCATGAAAAACTTGAGTTGTCAATTTAATTTATAGCCCAAACTTCTCACTGATATGTTTGGCAAGTTGAGATCTTTCTGATCACTTTTGGCCTGGCAAGAGCAAAAAGAAGAACATGTGTAACCATTTTTTTACCCTCTCTCGACACTTTACTTTAATTTCTGCAGGGGACTTAATTAATTAAATGCTTCCTCGTGTTGGAATTTCACTCTCTCTCTCTTATTTATTGTTCTCTGGGTGGAAAAAGTGCGGGCTGGAAAATATCATTTGCTGACTTCACGCAAAGGTCAGATAGTTGCGAATATGACGTTCGCGTTTGCTTTGTTATTTTAAATTCCACACTTTCATGAAAAAAAAGCCTGCAAAAACACGGCGCGGGAGTAAAAGGCCGCATTACGTAAATTAACAGCACAAGTGAAGAGCCTCTGGGCTCTCAGAATTCAAGTTTCAAGTGGCGGGGAACCGTGAAGAAGTTTGTAAATGGATTATTTATTTGATCTCTTGAGCTTCCAGTGGAAAAAATGTGGAAGTCTGGTGAGAAAGATGAGTGATGTCAGTTTTATTCTCTCCTTTTTACAGCAAAATGAGAAAAAATGTTAGAATAACTGACGAATCTGGGCAGTTTTAGCGCTTGTATTGGTCAATATTGCCAAGAGAGAGACATTATGGCAAGAAGTGGTGTACAATTCAGTGGAAATCGTAAAGGAGATGAAAGTGTTCTTCAAATTCTTGCACAATTGCTTCTGGTTTTCTATCTAAAAATGATGAAAATGAAGCTTTTTGGTGCTTTTCTAGGTTATGAGACTATTTGAAGCTAGTTTTAGTACATAATTAGCACTTTAGCACATAAATTATCATGGTTAAGAATGAAATATGGCGATTTATTGAAAGAATAAGGTATTTTCGAGCAATTAAAGATGCTAAGACGGATTTCTAAGATGCTGTCAACGGAAAAAATGGAATAAACTTAAGGAAAAACGATAGAGAAAAGAGAGGTTAGAAATGCCTAGAATTATGACTGACTTCGGCTAAAATTCGAAAATATCGTATTGATTGATGCTATTCTCGATTTTTGAGGTTAGGAAACACTGAAAACTGCGCTAACTTCTAACGTAACCTCAAAAATACCATTTTGGACTTGGAAAATTGACTAATTTGACTCGGAATCAGTTTTTTTGAGTTTATTTCAGCTGATTCTGTCCAAGAAAACAACCTAAATAGACTCTTTTAAAGGTTTCTTAATGTTATTTTTAGATTATGATGAAAAAACATGCCAAAAACCGTGTAGTTTTAATGTTAATAATTGTGAAAACATCCTAAGAAGTTAGAAATTTATCCACATTTCCCCCCTTGAATGTTGGTTAATAAGAGTCAAGTGTCTTCAGGTTTAAATTGTCTTTCTCATGCAACTCCTTATTGAGCTCTCGCGAGTGGGAACCAAGGGCAAATGATGTGCTATTGAGATCAATACATGACTGCCTAATGGCTCGGAATCTTGAAATATCACGTAATATTTTCCTAAGATAAACATCCAATGGAAATAGCCATTGAATGTCTCGTCATTTCCATAATTACAGTTCGGCCACAATTGAATCTCTCTTATCGCTTAAGATGCCTTATGTACTCTCAGATGTTCTCGTCCACCTTGATTTTGGCAAGGTCACACAATTCAACGCGATCTCATCATTATGTATCCACTTAACACATTGCCTTTTTTGCAAAGTGTTTTGGATATTGAGAAGAAGAAGCAGAAAAAATGCCTGGGATTCTTGCGTGGAGCGTCGCAGCTGGAATTTAGGGGGGTGTTAATGAGCGATTGAAGAGGAAATTTGTGGGCTCAACCCTCAACATTATGTGGGCATTTTATACGGCCACGCCGAGTAAGTTATTCCACGAACGTGTCAAAATTTAGTGGGTGGAATTCACGCATAATTCCCAGTGACATGAAGACCCTGACCTTAGACAGCCGCCCCTAGGGTTGCGGGGTTGTGCGTGACAATCGCCTCTTTTGATTCGCACGATTAACCATATAATTAGTTGTGTGTGTCTGCCTCGTTTGGCTGATTAAAGTCAGCGACGTCATGGGCCCACATTCGCCACTATCTCATGCCAAGGGGGAGATAATACAGCCAGAAGTGGTGTACAGCTCAGCAGAAGTACTTAAGAAGTGCAAGTGTCGGAAAACCTACAATATTTCTTTCCCGAATGCTTCTTTTACTGACAAATCATTCAGATTCTCTGGATTTCCTTCGATTTTCACGCAGAAACAAGCGTAATAATCTTTTTTCTAGGTTATGTAACGAATCACTGACATTAATTCACATGCTCAAGTCCAAAAGAATGCTATTCACTAGCAGAATTAAGCATTTTCCTGTGATAAATAGCGTTTTTTTAATCCGTCG